TTCCGGCAGATTTCTAGGTACGCAATTGTGCTTGATGAGATAAAACCGGGTGAGCTAGACCTTGACTTGGCAAAGTACGAGGTAGGTATCGGACCCAGCCGAGGTCGTAATGCTGCTACATACGTAAAGGGACGGGTCGACAAGGGGTGCTTCGTTGCAACCCAGTCGTCGCAGGAAGCCGCGGAGATTCCACGGCCTCCGGTAAGGATTGGATTCGAAGCCCGCCTCGCTGAGCCATATGCCGTCATGTTACGTTAAGGGACTTTCTCAATAGCAGAATTACGGGCAAGGTGTAATGCGCCATGGACGAAAGAACTATTCCCATTAATTACAGAGTCAAGGCCAATTCCCCTATGACAGTGGCGTTTACCTTTCCTGGCTGATGTGCATATCATTTAGTTGTTCCTGTAACTGCTCAGACTCTTTTCACCCCACCCAATACCACCACCAATACCCTTGACACCCCCAAGAGACTGTGATAATTTTCACTAGGTTTGCCGACCGGGGGGTTTTCACATACGCCCCGGAATTCGATCAGGAACTCAACCAAGGCAGGACTAATGGGCGATCCGAATGCGCTAACCAACATAGACTGGGTCAACATCAGCAATTGGCTCACTATGTACTGGATTGCTTTCCCCCTGGTTATCATTACCGCCTTCACCCTCATGACGGCCCTCGCATTTATTCCTTCGGCAGTCCAAACGGGGCATTTGCCGCAGGGGTTTATCCACCTGCGATGGCCGATGGTCATTTTTGCCGTTGCGGTGTGGGTGGTCGCGTGGATTTTCTGGGTCTCGGTGATGTTGTTGAGCCCGGATATGCTGGGCAATATCTACGACAGGTTCCTGGTATAGGTTCATTAAGGAAGCAGCCCTGGAGGGTAGCTTTCCTTACTCTTGTAAGTCAGGGTCTCCGGCAATGTCCGGGGCCCGCCGGAACAGTCAGTCCGGCTGGAAACTAGATATAGGCAGGTTTTGGCGCCGATGAGGCCAAGCGCAAATATAATCCCACTGGCTCTTGCAGGATTGGTCGTCACCGGCATTGTTGGTTTCCTGGTTGCTATCCTCTTTATGTCCTGGTTTTCCACTCCGCCATTTGGCCTGGGCAATGCCCCCGCCCAACCCATCGATTTCCCCCACACAGTACACGCCGGTACCGTCGAAGAGGGCGGGGTCGGAATTGCCTGTGAGTTCTGCCACCGCAACGTAACCGAGGGCGCCGCCGCAACGGTGCCGGCAGTGGAGCAATGCGTCTTCTGCCACAAGCAGATCAATCCCGAGAATCTGGTCGCTTCCACCAGCGTTGACCAGGATGAGATGCAGCTGGTGGTGGACAAGTTCAATGACAACGACCCGATTAACTGGGAACGGGTACATCGAATACCCGACCACGTCAGGTTTGTCCACGAAGCCCACATTCGGTTCCTGACCGAGGGTGAGTCGCGGATAGTGGCTATGCCTATCGGCGACGGACTGCCAACGCAGTTGCCACTTAACACGCAACAGGCCTGTTCGGTCTGCCACGGCGATGTGGCAAGCATGAGGGAAGTCCAGCCAACGGGGGGACAGTCCCTGAAGATGGGCACCTGCGTGGATTGTCATCGCGAACTGAACGTGGGCACCGACTGCACCATCTGTCATAAGTAGGCCTGAAACAAACGATTCCGTAAGAGACATTCGGCACTAGCGAAACTGAGCGAAGGCATCATCGTATGAAATTAACACGGCGCAATTTCCTGGCCTGGGCCGGCCTCTCCGCCATCGGAGCAGTAGCCTGCGATGTCATCCAGGACGAGGAACTGAGCCTCCAAAGCCCGCGGGACCTGCCCGAGGACCTGGTTAAGGGCAGGGACAACTGGTACGCCACCCTGGGTCGGAACGCCACCGACGGCGAGGGTGTGATCGTGCGGGTTATGGAAGGCCGCGCCAAGAAGATACAGGGCAACCCCAAGTACCCGGTTAACGAGGGCAAGCAAAGCGTTCGCTCCGAGGCTGGGCTGCAGGCCCTGTACCATCCAGACCGGATTGCCGGCCCCATGCAGCGGACGGGCCCGCGGGGTTCGGGGCAGTACCGGTCAATCCAGTGGGAGCCCGATGCGCTGGACATCCTGCGACGGGAGTTGCGGGCGCGCAGCCAGGGCATGGTTTTGATCACTGAGCCGCTGCGGGGTCACTTGGGAATGATCGCCGACCGGTTCGCATCCTCGGCCGGCGGACGCCACCTGGGCTTCGAGGCCCTGGATGACACCACTTATCGCTCCGCCATTAAGGACGTATTCGGCCAGGAACGGCTGCCCGATTTCGATATTGGCAACGCCAATTACGTGATTTCCTTCGGCGCCGATTTCCTCTCCACCTGGGGTGCGTCAACCCGTTTTGCCAAGGCCTACGGAGAGTTCCGGCAGGGCGCCAACCGGCAGGATCGGGGCTACCTGGTGCACGTTGACCCCCGCTTTTCCATGACCGCAGCCAACGCCGACGAGTGGCTGCCCATCAAGCCGGGCATGGAGGGCTACCTGGCCCTGAGCCTGGCCTACGTGATCATCAGCGAGGGGATGCAGGCCCAGGGCGTGGACGTTGATGCCCTGACCAACGGGCAGGGCGCGGCAGCGCTGGAGGCCTTTGCTCCAGAGCGAATCGCCGGACAGCTGGGCATTCCCGAGGGAGTACACCAGAGCAAGTCAGGCGCCGAGAAGATTCGTGACCTGGCCAACAGCTTCAGCCATCACGGACCCGCAATCGCTTTGGGTGGCGGTAGTGCCGGGGCCCACAGTAACGGCCGGTTCAACTTGGCCGCCATCTATGCCCTCAACTATTTGGTCGGCAGCGTCGGCGCCAAGGGCGGTGTCCGATTCAATCCAGGCAGCATCCTAAGTAGCCTGCCGTCGGCAGCAAATGTGGGAAGTGTCCAGGATTGGTCCGGCGTAGCCAACGACATACGCAACGGCACCACCAGAATGGTGCTGGTGCATGATGCCAATCCGGTTCACGGACTGCCCTCCTCCCTGGCATTTGAGAACGCATTGAATAGGGATGACCTGTTCATTGTGAGTTTCTCGTCGTTCATGGACGAGACTACGATTATGGCGGACCTGATTCTGCCCGACCGCGTGTTTCTGGAGGGCTGGGGTGACGACATTCCCGAGCCGGGTCCCGGTTACCGGGTAATCGGTATGCAGCAGCCCGTGGTCAACCCGCTGAGCGACTTGGACCCCCGCAGTTTTGGAGATCTGCTTCTCAGCATGGCCCAGGAGTTGGGACTGGAAAGTGAGTTGCCGTGGCCCAGTGTCGAGGCGGCCCTTAAGGAAAGCACAGAAGCTCTTTACAAGACGGGGCAGGGATCATCCCGGCAAGCGGCATCGGCCAGAGACCTCTGGAACCTTATGCTGCAGCAGGGTGGCTGGTGGGACGAAGATGCCACCGGACCCACGCCCTCTGCGCCGGCCGGTCTTTTGAGCAATATTGCCAGCCAGGGCCGGGAGCCGGGCTATTCCGGCAGCGGCGAATTTTACCTGCAACCCTTTTCCCATAACTCATTGTTGGACGGGCGCAATGCCCACATTCCCTGGATGCAGGGTTTGCCCGATCCCATTACCACGGTTACGTGGCAGACGTGGGTTGAGTTGAACATCCACAAGGCCGAGCAGATGGGACTGCGCGAGGGTGATGTAGTCCGGGTGCAAACGGACAGCGGGACTATTACGGGACTGCTGTATCCCAATCCTGCGCTGCCGCCCAATGTTGTGGCTGTGCCCCTGGGTCAGGGACGGCGCAGCGGGTCCGACTACGCCACCGGAGGCGATCCGCGGGAAAGTTCCAACGCAATTGACTTGCTTTCGGCCGGTCATTTGACGGAAAACGGTTCTCTGGCCTGGGCCGGACACATGGCAAGGGTTACGCCCACCGGCGAGAGTTTGAAGATTTCCAAGTTCGAGGGCATATTCCCGGCGCGCGAGGTCGGGCTTACCCCGGGCGAGGAAATCGTAAAGGTTACGAACCAGTAATTGACACAGGGTTGGCGATTTCCCAACCTTCTGGATAGTGGCTATTCGCGAGCTTACTGAGTTCTTGGTGTCCAAGACGGCGCCCTTAGAAAAACTCAGAGTAAGCGAACAGCGAGTCGGTCGACCAAAACGGGGAGGATAATGGTTACCAGCCGAGTTGAACACAAATGGGGCATGGTCGTTGACCTGGACCGCTGCAATGGCTGTCAGGCCTGCGTGGTGGCTTGCCAGGTAGAGAACAACCTGCCCATTAATGACAAGAACTCCTTCCTGCAAAATCGGGCCTACGAGTGGATCCGGATTGAGCGGTACTGGGAGGGGGATTACCCCAACATCAAGGCTCGTTTCATTCCGGTCCTGTGCCAGCACTGTGAGAACGCGCCCTGCGAACCGGTGTGCCCGGTTTTCGCAACCTACCACAACGACGAGGGACTGAACGTCCAGCTCTATAACCGCTGTGTGGGCACCAGGTATTGCATCAACAACTGCCCTTACCAGGTGCGGTTCTTTAACTACTGGCACCCAAACTGGCCGGAGCGACTGCAGAATCAGTTGAATCCTGACGTAACGGTACGGACCCGGGGAATCACCGAAAAGTGCACTTTCTGCATTCAGCGCCTGCGCCGGGGACAGTTGCAGGTGGAGCGCCGGGGCGGCGGCACACTGAACGACAGCACGTTGAATTCCGGCAACCACATGCCGGCTTGCGTTCAGGCCTGCCCCACCAACGCTCTGACTTTCGGCGACCAGAACGATGTCAACAGTCCCATCAACCCCTACTTTGCGGATGTTAACAAGTACGACGTTCACCACGAGCACGAACGAAAGACTCGCGGCTACCGTCTGCTGGAAGAAATGAATACCAAACCAAACCTGATCTACCTGAAGAAGGTTGATCCCAACGCGGCGAGCAGTGGCGGAAATCATGGCTAGTAGCACCGAACACCACGGGGGTGGGCAGCACGCTGGAATGTGGGTTTTCCCCAAGCTGGAAGAGATAACGTCCGACGTCTCGGGCAAGACCTTTTCCATGCCCTCCGGATACAAGCTGGCCTTGGGGATAGCCTTTATACTGACAGCCCTTGGAGTGGTTGGCTTCTTTATCCGCGCTACCACCGACGGCTTTGGCGAAACCGGACCTTGGGGCTACTACGCAGGAATCTTCTCTTTCATCTTTATGGTAACCGGGGCGGCCCCCCTGGTGGCGGCGGCTTTCCGGTTCACCAAAAGCCACTGGCGGCGTCCCGTGTCCCGGGTAGCGGAGTTGTTCGCCGTCGTGGGCGTGGTTAACGTTGTCCTTTTCATTCCCCTGATGCTGGCAATGCCGCCGATTAAGAATCCGGAAGTGGTCGGTTCCGAGCTTGAGGTGCGCCGCACCCTGTGGTTTGAGGTTCCCATCGGCGCTCCATATTATTGGGACTTCCTTTGCTTCGTGGGGCTGGCCTTCTGCAGCATGGCGATACTGTGGCTTTCAGCCACGCCGGACATGGCCCAGGCCCGCGCAACGGCGACAGGCTTCCGCCGCGGACTTTATTCCGCGCTTGCCGGCTGGTGGTACGGGACCAAGCGGCAGTGGAACCATCAGAAGGCGGGCCTTGCCTTGCTGGGCGCCTTCTACTTCATGCTGCTGATTTTCGTGCAGTTTATTTTCGTCACCGAGTTTGCCATGAGCATGGTGCCGGGCTGGAAGGACTCGGTACTGCCCCCCATGTACACGGTGATGGGCTTCCAGACCTCACTGGGGCTGATCCTGATAGTCCTGTTCGTGATGCGCAAGTGGGGCGGGTACGAGACCTACCTGGGCAAGTCGCCTTTCTGGTCAGCCAGCAAGATTCTTCTGGGCCTGACCCTGCTCTGGACTTATCACCTGTTTGCGTTCTTTATTACTTATTGGTATGGCCGCCTGGAGGTGGAGCAGAATATTCTCAAGTACGTGTTCACCCAGCCTTACCTGCTGGTGTTCCTGGCGAATATGCTGTTCAGCTTCCTGGTCCCCTTCCTGATGCTTATCTGGAATCCCTTGCGCCGCAGCGCCTGGGGGCCGTCCCTGGCGGGCCTGTCTGCTCTGTTTGGGTCACTGCTGTTTAACCTCAGGACTTTCGTGGCAGGATTCAACGTGGAAAACCATTATGAGTTCGCCCTGTCCCACGTCGCGCCGGCTGTTTTGCCCGACATATGGGATATATGCATAGTCCTGGGCGGTCTGGGGCTAGTTGCACTGGTGTATTTGCTGGCAGCCAAGGTCATCCCCTTAATGTCCATCTGGGAAGTGAAGGAAGGGACCCTCTACCAGAAATGGGAGCCCTTTGTCCACAGTGAGTACCTGGTACTGGGCAAGCCGGAATAATCAGTCCGGAAAGTCAAACGAAATAGATTATAGATAAAGGGACGGGGATTGACCCGTTGATTGGGGCCGCTGTAGGGGCCCCGGAACCAAGCAAAGGAAGGTAAGCAGGAGCTTCCATGCAGGAAGGCAGAGTCCTAAGTACAAGAGAAGTGAACCGGGATTTGCTCCGGTCAATCCTGGATACACCCCGGTGGTTCTGGCCGGTGGTGACGGTCCTTGGCCTGATCCTGCTGGTGGCCTCCATCGCCATCGGCATTATGGTCAATCGGGGCCTGGGCGTTACGGGCCTGAACCGTCCGGTGGCATGGGGCTTCTTCATCACAAATTTCGTGTTTTGGATCGGTATCAGCCACGCCGGCGTGATGCTTTCCGCGATTTTGCGGTTGGCCAAAGCTGAATGGCGTCGGCCAGCCACCCGCGCCGCCGAGGTCTTGACCCTGTTCTCCCTGATGACGGCGATGATTATGCCCATCGTCCACACCGGTCGGCCCTGGCGCATCCTTTACTGGGTGTTTCCTTATGACTTTGCCCGCGGCATTTGGCCCAACATCCGGACGCCGCTGGTCTGGGACCCCAGCGCAATTCTGACCTACCTGACCTCCAGCACCCTGTTCGTTGTCATCGCCCTGGTTCCCGACTTTGCGGTGCTGCGGGATCACACCACTGGCATTGCCCACCGGGTATATTCCGTGCTGGCCATGGGCTGGGAGGGTAACGCCCGGCAATGGAAGCTGCAAATTTTGGCCGGTGTGCTGCTGTCGGCGCTGATCCTGCCCGTGTTCGTCTCGGTGCACAGCATAGTGTCCTGGGACTTCGGTATGGCGGCGTCGGTCAAGTCCTGGCACTCCACCGTGTTCGCTCCCTACTTCGTGGTTGGCGCTGTCCACTCTGGCGTGTCGGCAGTGGCCTTCGTTCTCATCCTGCTGCGCTGGTGCTACGGCTGGCAGGACTACATCCGCCACGAGCACATCGACGCCCTGGGACGGTTGCTCATAGTGGTGGCTACGGGCTGGTTCTACTTCCTGGTCATGGAGATCGTGTTCGGCATGTACGGGCGGGAAGCAGACGAGTTGATGGTCAGGCAGACCCAGTTTACGTACTGGCCCTACAATGCGTGGTTCATCATATTCATCGTTACCACGTACTTCATACCCGTGATACTGTGGCTGAGCCGGGCTTGGCGGCGCAACCTGTGGATAATGTCTCTGGCGTGTATCTCGGTAAACATCGGCATGTGGCTGGAGCGTTTCCTGATTATCGTGCCGGGCCTTATTAACAAGCAATTGTTCACCTTCGTGTGGGCCGATTACAGGCCCAGCATATTCGAGATAATCATCGTGGCGTCAACATTTGCCCTGGTGACCATGTTGATGCTCCTGTTCAGCCGCGTGTTCCCCCTGGTACCGTTGTACGACGTGAAGGAAGGGGATGTGCTGAAGACCCGGATACAGATAGGTCGCCGGACGGTTCCGGCAACATTCAGAGAAGATTAGTCCCTGCCGATTGGCAGGAGGGACACCGAGGTAAAGGTAGAGAGGTTATAAGTTATGGCAAGACGTCCTATATTGGGGTTGTTTGACAACGCCAATTCCGCCGCCGATGCGGGCGACGGGCTGAGGCGGGCCGGTATTCCCGAAACCGACGTGGATTTCTTGACGGATGCTCCCTATCCGGAAGGAGCTTTCGGGGAACGGGAGGAGCCGCACAAGCTGTATATTTTCCCGTTTATTGGGGCGCTGCTGGGTCTGACCTCCGGCATCCTGCTCACCTCGATGACCCAGGTGGCATATCCCCTCGTTACCGGCGGCAAGCCCATCCTGTCCATACCACCCATGGCGGTGGTGTGCTACGAAGGCACCATGCTGGGCGCAATTCTGTTCACGGTGCTGGGCATTATTTTCGAGTCCCGCCTGCCCAAGCTAAAGGCCGGCCTCTACGACACCCGGATTACTGAGGGGCACATCGGGGTGCTGGTGAACACCGAAGAAACGCAGCATGGCGCAGTAGAGGGAGTGTTCGGCCAGACCGGGGCCATCGACATTAAAACGCAGTGACGTCGCTGGCAACAATAGCTCTGACGGAACAGCTCTGAAGAGAAGTCTGAACGGCAGCGGTCAACTTCCTTTGCTTCGTGGGAACGAAGGCTTACCCTAACTATCTGTACAATCAGGCGGAGCAGCAGGCCAAGTTACTTAAGGAAACAGGAATAGCCGGAGACCGGACGTAACCGGTAGAAGGCAGCCAAAAATGAGCAAACTTTCTGGAAAACTAATGAACCTGAACCTGTTATCAAGGGTGCGCTGGTTCCGCACCAGGACTTACCTGGGCGGATTGGCCTTGCTGGTAGGTATCCTGGCGCTGGGTTGTTCCCAGGGCTCGTACCCGCTGGACATCTTCTATGAGATGCATTACCAGCCTTCGCATAAGGCCAGCGAGCCGCCTCGGTTGAGCGCTCCGGAGAGCGCGGTGCCCTTCTACTCGATGCAGGCTTCCAACCATGATGGCGAAGACCTTTACAACATCAACTGCTCAATGTGCCACGGGGCCCAGGGCAAGGGTGACGGGCCGGTACTGGTCAAGATGATGGAGACCTACGGCTATAACCCCACCGTCCCCGCCGACTTGACGGCCATTGATGACCCCCTGATGATTGCCAAGGATACTGCCGGGGTAACCAACATCATGACCGGCGGCTTGACGGTCATGCCCAGCTTCTCCAAGCTGCTGACCCAGGAACAAATAGATGCGGTGGCCCGCTACGTGGTGGACTGCCTGCAGGGAACAAACCCGTCCGGTTGTTAAGGAATGTGCCGGTTTCGACGGTATGAGGACAGGTAAACAAGAGGAACGGAGAGTTCTCTAACCGTTCCGAGTTTGAAAGTGAGAAACGAAAGATTTTGCAGACGGGGGCAGGCTCAAGGCCTGCCCTTTGCTTTTTTGCCCAGCGGAATTGCCCTGTTCGCAATCTTGATTGTCGTGGCAATTGGACTCGGCCTGTGGGTTGATGTTTCCCACGCCCAGGAGCCCACCGGCACCTACGATGAAGAAGAAGCGCAGGGGATAGACCAGATGCTGATGTGTCCGGTTTGCCCCGCTGAGTCCATTGACCAGGCGCAGGTGCCCCTGGCCCGCCAGATGCGGCAGCGGGTGCGGGAAATGCTGGCTGAGGGGGCAAGTCGCCAGGAAGTCCTGGACTACTTCGCCGACCGTTACGGAACAGACGTGCTGGCATCGCCGCCCAAGTCGGGATTAAACCTGCTGGCCTGGATATTGCCGGTGATTGGAGTGGTTTCAGCCCTGGGGGCCGGACTGCTGGTTTTGCGGGCCATGACGGGCAGGAGCAGCGAGGGCCCCGCCACAGGTGAAGTTGAAATGGGCCCACCGGACGGGGACCTGGAACCGTACCTGGCTGCGGTGGACCGGTCTCTCGCAATAGAAAATGGAGTCGATGTGGATGACGAAGAAGAGCCCAGGAAAGGCAACCAATAGCGGCATATAGCATCGATGGTTTGGTGCCATTGACCAGCATTGGAATGGCGACTATGGCATCTTCGCCTCTCTTGGGATGACAGGTTAAACGGCTGCCTTGCCCAGCGTGCAATGCGGAAAACTTCAACCAAAGTCGGCGCGGTTGAAATGCCGCCACCATATCATTAGAGTGTAGCGATATTGTTTCGCGGCGCGCCGGACCCTATCCTCTCCACCGGAGGTATGCAATGAACTCCAGGGAATACGACATCGTAATCATTGGGGGAGGCATTATCGGCCTTTCCACGGCCATGCAACTAGCCCGCCGGTTTCCCCAGGGCTGCAGCATTGCCGTGCTGGAGAAGGAGAAGGACCTGGCCACCCACCAGACCGGCCACAACAGCGGCGTAATTCACTCGGGGATCTATTACCGGCCGGGCTCCCAGAAGTCCCAGTTCTGCGTGGGCGGGGCCCAGGCCCTGATGCGGTTCTGCGACGAGAACGAAATCGAGTACGACCAATGCGGTAAGACCATCGTGGCCACCGAAGAGTCGGAACTGCCCCGGCTGGATAACCTGTACGAGCGCGGCGTGGCCAACGGGGTGCAGGGGCTGGAAATGATCGGTCCGGAGCGACTGCAGGAAATTGAGCCTCACACCTTCGGACTACAGGCTTTGTGGTCTCCCACCACCGGAATCATTGACTACGTAAAGGTCAGCGAGGCCTACGCGTCCAGGTTCCAGGACAGCGGCGGCGACATCTACATGGACGCCGCGGTCAGGTCCATCGGAGGCTCCGCCGGCGCCATGACCATCGACACCTCCCGGGGGTCGGTGCGGGCGGCCCACGTAATCAACTGCGCCGGTCTCTACGCCGACCGCATCGCCGAGATGATGGGGGAGCGGACCGGCGTTCGCATCATTCCCTTCCGGGGGGAGTACTATACCCTGAGACCGGAAAGCCAACACCTGGTAAAGGGCTTGATTTATCCGGTTCCCGACCCCCGGTTCCCCTTCCTCGGCGTCCACTACACCCGCAACATTCACGGCTACGTGGAAGCCGGCCCCAATGCCGTCCTCGCCTTCGCGCGGGAGGGCTACCGCAAGAGCAATGTGGACCTGGGAGAGTCGGTGGGAACCTTCACTTATCCCGGCTTCTGGAAGATGACCGCCAAACACTGGCGCACCGGCGTGTCGGAGATGCACCGTTCCTACAGCAAGAACGTGTTTGTCCACGACCTGCAAAAGCTGATCCCCGAAATCAGGGACGAGGACCTGGCCCCGGGAGGCTCCGGTGTGCGGGCGCAGGCGGTGGCCACCGACGGGGCTCTGCTGGACGATTTCTCAATACTCCAGGGGCAGCAGGCCATCCACGTGCTGAACGCGCCGTCCCCCGGGGCCACATCGTCCCTGTCCATCGGCCAGCACATCATGAACCTGGCGGTGGAAAGCTTCGAACTTGAAGGGTAGGGAAAGCCTAGATTACCAGCGGATAGTCAATAGACCGATAACTGCTGAACCGGCGGAGTCGCTTAAGATGACTTCGCCGGTTCATTCCTTGGTTGTCTCGACCAATGCTGGTCGAAGTCCTGTCATTGGGAGCGAAGCGAAGAATCCCAACCGCACCCTGCAAAGCCTTCAGGGCTCTCAATCCACGTACTTCAGAAACGGCTGGCGTTCTTGACGCTGCACTCCCGAAGTGCCTGGAGAATATTGGCAACCAGAATAAATTCAGGCACAAAAGGATGGGGCAACCACTAGGGTTGCCCCGACAAGTTCCAAGGGACTGGCCAGCCTTGAACAGCTGCAGCCCTGCTACCGCAGAACGTCGCTGTCTCTGGCCCTGTCAATGTAGCCCTGCACGTCAGCACCGAGCAGGAACCCGTCCGATTCCAGTTGGCGGGCCACTTTTCCCACCGCGCGGACGTACCCCTCGTGGTCGCCGTAACGTTCCTCAAGGGACAGGCGCGGGTCACCCGAAGCCTCGCGTTCGGCCTTGGTGGCGGCGAAGGGTATGTGCTGGCCGTCGGACTCGCCTCCGTCGTTTTCGGCAAAGCCCTCGCGTCGCAATGCCCAGCCGGTGGTGGTGGCTACCGGGGCTTCCACCTCCGGCAGGCGCACGCCCGCCACCTCGTTCCCGTCTTCATCCACTTTCGACACGAATATGGAGTAGGCAGGACGGTCAACCACCGACGGCGGACAGTTGGACAAGATTCCCTGGTCGGATTCGGGGCCAAAGTCCAAAACATAGCGGGTGGTTATTACACCGGTATAGGTTACCTCCGGGATATCGGGCCAGCCCAGCTCTGCCTGGGGCACACAGCCAACCTCGGATCCGGGACGAGTGACGGCAAAGGCAGCATTTTCGGCGCCCCTGGGCACCCGGCTGTCCGGCGGAGCGATGCCCTCGCTGACCCACCGGTCCAGGGCGACAAGCAAGGCGCGGTGCGCGGCATAGGGACTGACGCCGTTGGTTAGCTGCTGGTTCTTGCCTCGCCTGGTAATGTCTCCCACACCATGGGAGAGGCCGGAAATAAGGTAGTAGCGCACGTTCTCCGGGTCGGGCAGGTCGTTCCCCTCTGTGTCGGTGTGCAGCAGGGAGCAGGCCTTGACCCAGTACTCGTTCGAAGTATTGATCTCAAAACGCTTGGGCAGAGTGGCACTGGCGGCCCCCTGCTCGCTGCGGCCGGCGGTCTTGCCAGTCAGGTGTTCAGTAAGAACCTGGTGAGCAAAGGGGAAGATAGCTTCGGGATAGAGATGGTTCTGGCGGTTGCGCTCGGTGCGGTCGGTCTGGGCAAACCGGAAGTTAATCTGGTCGCCATTGCCGCCGCCGGTGTGGCTCAAGATCCCGTCCAAAACCCTCTGCCCGTATTCGTCCTCGTTGAAGCCCAGCTCCTGAAAATCGTTAAGGGTGCGGGAGGGCTGGGATATGGAGTAGCTGTAGGTGTAATCGACCTGGCCCGCCAGCGGGTTGTCCGCCGACTCCGGGGCGTTGCGCAGGAAGGACATGAAGTCGCGAGTGGCTGCCAGGCCGATGCCCGCCACCAACGGATCTTTCGCAGTGTAAGTAAATTCATAGATGCGTGACTGCTTGAAGGGAGTCCCCTCGGGCAGCAGGCGAATGGCGGTGCCTTCGTCCGAAGTGTAGTCCCACTCGGCAGGCGGGACTTCTACAGGCTCGTCGTCCAGATGCTCTCGCACCGTGAGCCTCGCCCCGGACTTGTCCAGGGTGGCGGCGGTGTAGGCCAGGTCGCTGGTCAAAGTGGTCTCGTTGTCAAAGACGATGTACTCGTAGGACGGGCCGGTGATGGTTTCCCCGTTGTTGGTTGCCACGGGGACGTTAATCGTCATGGAGTTGTGGCCGCTGGCGCTGATGTCCCATCCGTTGCCTACCACGGCATAGCCCATATTGAACACGAAGCCGGTACCGGCGTCTTTGGCCGATGATGGGTCGTTGTTTGAAGTGGCGCTGTTCAGCAAGCCCACACGCATTCCACCGCGGTTGTTGAAGTCGAGGATGACCCGCCGGTTGCCGAGGTCGAGGTTAATGGGCTTGAGAACAAAGATGTCCGTCGAATACTCCACCAGACCACGCTCATTTCTGGGAGCCAGTTCTATGTCGGTGATGACGGCATTGCGCGGGTCGGAGGGGTCCAGTTCGCCGTAGGCGGTACCGCGAAGCTTTTCGTACTGACCAACGCTGCCAAAGGACAGACCCTCGAAAGTGGGAGACTCGGAACGGTTGGGGTCGATAACGATGAGAGTGATACCCGACTTGGCTGCTATTGCAGCGCCGGGGCGGTTCTGTGTCATGGTGATTCTCCTGTGGGGGAAACGTTCAGGTACGTATTCTTCCTGTCGATTTGGTTTTTGGTTATGGAAGGCACTGTTGTTAGCATGATCATACAAAGGCAGGGTGCTTGGGTCAAATGGGGATGTCCCATAGTACGGACGAGAGCTTCAGGCTCCGACCGTATAGGTTCCTTCCCAAGAATATAAGAGCCTTGGCATGCAATAGGAATTGCCTCGAGCCTTGCATGGAACCTTGCGAGAGCCCCGTACCGGAGAACGGCCAGGTTTTCCCGCCCTACCCCGTATAAGGTATAATCAAATTCAGTTAATATCAGGGCTAAACGGGTTAAGCTGGCAAAGGGTAATCAGGGTTGGACGTTGCAGCCGGAGAGGCGATAGATCTGGGTTGTTGGACTCTTACCGAGGAGTCGGTAAGGAGTTATCTGGACGCCGTGGGGGACGACCTGACCCTGTATCTGGAACTGGGAGTGGCGCCCCCTTTGGCCCTGTGTGCCTATGCCTTGGGAGCGATGCTGGAGAAGCTGTCTTTGCCGGTTGGCGCCATCCACAGCATCCAGGAAATGGAGGCGGTGGGCGCGGCCAGCATCGGACAGGATATCTACGGTGAAGCAGTACCGGAGCGGCCCCGCAAGAGAGGCGGGCTCCGGTTTATGACTGTGGGTTATACCCTGAGAGATGACGCGGGGCAGGTGGTGCAGACGGGCAAGACCACGGTGCTGACGCCGGAGAGCGGGGACCAGGGCTAAGATGGCCGAAATAGCACCGGAAGAAACCGAACTACCGGCATTGACTCTGGACATTACCCAGGAGAGGCTGAACGCATACTGCGCCGCTTCAGGCGACAACAATCCGTTGCACTGGGACACGGAGTTTGCGGCGACCACCCAGTTTGGGGGAGTAATCGCCCACGGAATGCTGACTTTGGCCCTGATTTCCCAGATGATGGCCTCGGCTTATGGGCGGGACTGGCTGGAGACGGGCAGTCTTCGGGCCCGCTTCAAGGGGGCCGCATACTTGGGAGACTGGGTGTCGAGCCGTGGTCGGGTATCTAAAAAAGAGCAAAAGGACGGTCGCCGGTTGGTAACCTGCTCGGTGGCAGTTATAAAAAGAGTAACAGGTGAGGAGTTAGTAACGGGGAGCGCTACGGTTAAGGTCAAATGATCCAATCGCTGACTCCCTCCTGCAACAGGTCTAACTCTCGGCCAGGGATGTGACAAACCAAGGAAAGACAATATGCAGAATTCTGAATCTCCATCGTCCCACAACGAGGCTGCGTTTCAAGAGGAGCCAATTCGGGTGGCGGTGGACGCCATGGGCGGCGATTACGCCCCCCACGAAACGATTAAGGGCGCGGTGGCCGCGCTGGAACAACAAAATATAGAACTACTCCTGGTGGGAGACGCCGGGGCCGTGGAGGCCGAGTTAGCCAGCTACGACTTGTCCGGCAGGCCGGTCCAGGTTGTCCCGTCAGTGGGCAGAATTGGTGACGACGAACACCCAATGCACGCCTTCCGGCGGAAGCCGAATGCTTCCATTGTCGTAGGTACCAAGCTGGTCAAGTCCGGGCAGGCCGACGTGCTGGTGTCCCTGGGCTCCACCGGTGCCTCGATGGCCACAGCTTCCCTGATTCTCGGGGTAATGGAGGGCCTGGAGCGGCCCTGCATCGGCGGACCTTTCCTGGGGCTGGCTCCACGTACCGTTCTGATGGACCTGGGCAGCAACGTGGATTGCCGCCCCTCCCAGATTCTTAACTTCGCAGCGCTAGGTTCAGCGTTTGCGTATAAGTTTATGGGAATGGAAAATCCGCGGGTGGCGCTGTTGAGCGTGGGCGCCGAAAAGTCCAAGGGCAACCGGCAAGTCCAGGAAAGCTACCAACTGCTGGAACAGAGCCATCTCAACTTTGTGGGCAACGTGGAGGGGATGGACTTTTTCACCGACAAGGCTGACGTCATAATTTGCGATGGGTTCGTCGGGAATATCCTGATCAAGTTCACCGAGGGCATGGGCACTGCGCTCGGGAGTTACCTTGCCAGGCAACTGTCACCCTATATGTCCGAAGAACAGATGAAGGATGTATTCAACGATCTGTGGGAGACCACAAACCGGCCACGAACCATGGGCGGCCCGCTGTTCGGCGTAAATGGCGCCGTGGTCGTGGGCCACGGCTCCTGCAAGGCAGAAGGTGTCACGGGCGCCATCAACACCCGCCGTGCACTACATTAAGGGCGGCCTGGTGGACGTAATGCGGGAGGAGCTGGCAGAGATCAGCCGGCGCGGGCTGACTGGGGACCACGAGTAATGGCAACCAATAGGCTGGCGGAACAGGTAGCCCTGGTTACCGGCGCATCCCGGGGCATCGGCGCGGTTATTGCCCAACGACTTGCGAAGGAAGGGGCCAAGGTGGCGATCAACTACCAGGCGTCGAAGGAAGCGGCTCTCCAGGTGGTTCGTGGAATCGTCGATGCCGGCGGCGAGGCGGTGGTTCTTCCCGGGGACGTTTCCAAGGAAAAGGATGCCGAGACCCTGGTGAAGAGTGTCATAGAACAGTGGGGCCGCATCGACATCCTGGTGAACAACGCGGGGATAACCCGCGACCGTCTGTTGCTGCGCATGACGGTGGAAGACTGGGATCGGGTACTGGAAGTCAACCTGCGGGGGGCTTTCCTTTGCACCAAGTACGTGATGCCTCACTTGATTCGCCGTCGCCAGGGGCGTGTGGTCAACATTTCTTCAGTAGTGGGCATCGGTGGCAACCCGGGCCAGGCCAATTACGCCGCATCCAAGGCCGGGCTCATCGGGTTTACCAAGTCCGTGGCTAGAGAGGTAGCCTCACGCAACATTACGGTCAACGCCTTGGCCCCAGGCTTCATAGACACCGGCGGCATGGTGGACCAGATGACCGAAGAGGCAAAGAAAACGGTGTTGGGCCGAATCCCGATGGAACGGTTCGGCAACGCCGACGACGTAGCCGAGGCGGTGTCCTTCCTTTGCGGAAAAGGGGCGGGGTACATTACGGGACAAGTTATTACCATCGACGGCGGAATGGTGGGGTAACATGATTGCTCTTGGGGTAGGCCAGTGGCTTTAGTAGGAGGCCAAGGATGTCAACTGCGAATGCTCCCGACACGTTACCGCAAAGTGTGGTACCCGGCGAATTGGTGAACAGCTTTATCGAGTTAGTCGGTGTGCGGAGGGAGCACGGCAGCAGGTCAATAGTCCTGCAGGCTGCGGCTCAAGTAGGAGACGACACCGCACGGATTCGGTGGCTTCGTCCTACCTTGGAAGGCATATGCCATCTTCCATGGCACGAAAATGATATGCCCGATGGTAGAAAATCTACGAAAACGGAATCAGCGGCGCGTCTACTGTGGTTGCTCTGCGAGGTTCTGGAAGAGGACACTGTACCCCCTACCAGCATAATCCCAACATGGAGAGGTGGAGTTACCGCCGAATGGCACGTAAACGGGGTTTGACCTCGAGATTGAGTCAGACCCAAGCGGCACCATGGAGTACAACTTTGTGGGCCCCGGTAATGTCGAGTATGAGGGTCCCGTTGACGACAACCTGGAAAACCTGAGGTCGCACGTCAAGCTGCTGCCTGAAGAGAGGCACTAGGCACCTGAACCGATGTCCACTCCACCCGGGCAGCAACCAATCCTGGATGACGATGTGCTCATGCGGCGAGTGAGGCGCCAGGAACTTACAACCGACCAAGAGGGAGGGCCAGCGAGGCCATCCAGCGATGCATTCAAGCAGGATGGAGCCGAGGGCGAAACTTCGGGTTTACCTGTTCTCGGAGACTACGCCAGAGCGAATCAGCTACAACTATCCCGATATATTCGTAGCTCTAGTCGATGTGGGACTCCTCCGCCAACTAGGGCTAAATGTTGAGCGCAGTGCCATGGAAGGGGAACCTGGTCACTGTGTCATCACCGGTCGCGAAACTAGAAGCGTACTGAGAACACTCGCCCGTGCGAGTTATTGGGCACAAGGTTTTGGCCCAGTGGGCGAAGAATAGCTGATTAGATTCGTCAGGGTCTCGATCTGAATGCTCTCCCACAATCTCTGGGCCCGTCACGGTTATAGCTGGATTGCCGAGCCTGCTTGGTAACAACTTACGCAGAAACCACAGATTTCCCCAATCCAAGACAGCCCAACGAGAGGTCTTCCCATGCAACGCGCCACCACCAAACTCCGAAAACTGCTCCAGGATTCGGGTATCATCATGGCCCCCGGGGCTTATGACTGCCTCACCGCCCGCATTATCCAGAATGCCGGTTTTGGGGCCGTCTATATGACCGGGGCCGGAACCTCGGTGGCAACGCTGGGCTACCCCGACCTGGCCCTGGCAACCATGAGCGAGATGGTGGGCAACGCCGCCGACATTGCGGCCACGGTGGACGTGCCGGTAATCGCCGACGCAGATACGGGCTATGGCGGCATATTAAACATCCAGCGCACCATCCGCCAGTACCAGCGGGCCGGCGTAGCTGCGGTACATATCGAGGACCAGGAGTTTCCCAAGCGGTGCGGCCACCTGGACAACAAGCGGGTCATTGGCATTGATGAAATGGTGGGCAAGATCAAGGCGGCGGTCGATGCCCGCACCGACGACGATTTTGTCATCATTGTCCGCACCGATGCCCTGGCAGTTACCGGCTGGGACGACACCATGCGCCGCTGCGAGGCATTCACCAGGGCCGGGGCTGACGTACTCTTTGTGGAAGCGATCCGGTCCCACGAGGAAGCGGAACAGGTGGTGGCCTCGGTGGAACTGCCCCTGCTGTACAACTACGTGGAAACGGGCAAGTCGCCCCTGTTCACCGCCCGGGAGTTGGAGCAGTTGGGCTTCAAGCTGGTTATCTACCCGGCCAGCGCGCTGCTTACGGTGAGCAAGGTCGTGGCCGTGCTGATGGAAGAATTGAAGGCCAAAGGCACCACGGCGCACCTGGTGGACAACATGATCAGCCTGCACCAGTGCTTCGAGCTTATGGGACTGTCGGAAATGCTTGCCACCGACGAAAACTACTCCGCCGCAGCTATGGAGGCGGGGCGGTGAACGAGGAACTCCGCCAGTTCATCAAGGAGTCTCTCGAACTGGGACTGGCGCGGGATGCCATCCGTAACGTGTTGCTGGAGGCCGGCTGGCAAGAACGGGATGTGAGCAGCGCCCTGGGTGCCTTTGCGGAGGTGGACTTTCCCGTGGCGGTTCCCTTGCCCCGGCCATACCTGCACGCGCGCGAGGCGTTCCTTTACCTGGTCTCCTTTATAACGCTCTATGCATTTGCTTTCAGCCTGGGTGCCGTGTTCTTCGGCCTCATTGATTACCACTTCTCAAAGTTCCATTTACCGTTTCGATCCCGGCCCTTCAGCTGCCCAGACCACGGCATTAGCCGCCGTAATCGTGGCATTCCCCCTTTATCTCTTCCTGATGCGCCGCTTGGGGGCAGCAGTGGCGGCCGATCCGGAACGCCGGCAATCCCTGATCCGCCGTTGGCTCACCTACCTGACCCTGGTAGTGGGCGCGGCAGTGATTCTTGGCGATGTGATTGCTTTGCTGGCCCGACTGCTTGCCGGCGATCCCACTGCGGGCTTTGTCCTCAAGGTATTTGCCATCCTGGTAATCACCGGGCCGATATTCGGATACTACCTCTGGGATATGCGGCAAGCCGAAGACGAGGTAACCGAGTCTGTAGCCCGCGCTGCGCCGGTACTGCGGGGCCTCGTAATCGCCGCCATAGTGATTGTGATTGCCACCCTGGGTTACTCCATCTACCTGGTTGGCACCCCCGGGCAGCAGAGGGATACGAGGCTGGATGACCAGCGCATTACAGACCTGCGAAACATTTCCCGCAACATTGATACTTACCTTGAGCTTAATGAGAGAATGCCGGGAAGCCTGCGAGACCTGACGGGCCCCAGATTCTATGTAGACTCCATTGAAGACCCGGAGACGGGAGTTCCCTACGAATATGGGGTCATAAGAGGCACTGACTATGAACTTTGCGCCGTCTTTTCGACAAATACCTCGGAGCGTAGAGACGAGCGCCGGTCCTTTTCCGAGCAAATACGGGACCATGGTATAGGAAGGGCCTGTTTCCAACTGGTAGCCAGGGCAGAGCCCAGGTGACTGTCGCCGAACGGACTGAGGTAATTGAGGTGCAAGCATGGCAAACGTAGTACTGGTTATCGACATGGTTCGCGGCTTCCTGGAGCCGGGGCACAATCTCTACTGCGAGGGCTACCGCCCCCTGATTCCCAGGATTCAGGCTTTGCTGGAACAGGAAACCGCCGCCGGTTCCAACGTCCTGTTCATCTCCGACCACCACGACCCGGACGACCTGGAGTTCCAGATATTCCCCGTTCATTGCGTCAAGGGTACGGAGGAACCCGAGGTAATCCCCGAACTGGCCGGTTACCTGACCAACGAGAACCTGGTGCCCAAGAACCGGTACAGCGGCTTCTTCAACACCGACCTGGAGCAGCGCCTCGCCGACCTACAACCCGACAAGGTTATCGTCTGCGGGGTCTGCACCGACATCTGTGTCCTTCACACCACATCAGATGCCCGCAACCGCGACTATCCGGTGGAGGTGCCGTCCGACTGCGTGGCAACCTTTGACCCTGATGCCCACATCTGGGCTCTGGGGCATTTGGAAAAGATTCTGGGGGCCAAGGTGGTTTAGGGGACCAAGGGGACGCCACCGCCCCCTCTCGCTGGGAAAGGGAACATTTCCACTCTTTCCAGCGGGCTATCTGGCTTTGGTCCTTGGTAAAGGTCTTTGGGAACAGACAGCACCCCCACATCGCCTCCCTGTGCTATACTTGCTCACCAAAAGGGCCGAAAATCGGGCCCTCATCTCTTATATAGCCACAATCCGTAATCCCCAACACTCCCACAAAGGCATATCTTCCGGCAAGGGAGGCCAACATGCTGTTTTACCGCTCCTACCGCTACTCCCAATGGGATGGATCCCAGGAAATCTTCGACATTGACGCCGACGAGTTGATGGATCGTCTGGCGGACGAACTGCTCAAGCAGGGCGACGTCATGCAGGCCCTCCGCGAGTTGCTGCGTAACGGTATGCAGGACCGCAACGGCCAGCAGATGCCCGGCCTCCGCGAGTTGATGGACATGCTCAAGGACCGCCGCCGCGAGCAGTTGCAGCAGCACAACATGGACTCGGTGGTGGACGACCTCAAGGAACGGCTGGACGAAATCCTGCGCACCGAACGGGAAGGTATCGACCGGCGCATGGACGAGGCCCAGGAACAGGTCAACCAGTCCCCTGACGAAGACCGTCCATGCAGGACAACCTGCTGGACATGCTGAAACAGCGGGCCGACCGCAACCGCGAGAAGCTGGACAACCTGCCAGACAGCCTGGGCGGCCAGATCCAGGAGTTGATGGAGTACGACTTCATGGACCCGGATGCCCAGCAGATGTTCCAGGAATTGCTGGAAAATGCTGAAGCAGCAGATGGCCCAGAACATGGGCCAGCAGATGCAGCAACAGATGCAGAACATGTCCCCCGAGCAGATGGCGGCCATGCAGGAAATGATGCGCCAGCTCAACGAAATGATGCGGGACAAACTATCGGGTATGCAACCCGACTTCGACGGCTTCATGCAGCAGTTCGGCCCCATGTTCGGGGACAATCCTCCCCAGAACTTTGAAGAACTGATGGAAATGCTGCAGCAACAGCTTGCCCAGATGCAGTCGATGCTGGACAGCATGTCGCCGGAGGCACGCCGCGAGCTGGAGGATGCTCTTCAGTCCGCCCTGGACCCGGGGATGCAGCAGCAGATGTCAGAATTCGCCTCGCTGATGGAACAGCTGATGCCCATGGACGACTTGCGCCGCCAGTATCCCTTCCTGGGCGACGACAGCCTGACCATGGAGCAGGCTATGGAAATGATGCGCCAGTTCCAGGACCTAGACCAACTGGAACAGGCCCTGCAGCAGGCATTGCGCACCGGCGACATGGAAGAGATTGACCCGGACAAGCTGGCCCAACTGCTGGGCGATGAGGCACGGCGGGCCTGGGAGGAACTGGATAGGCTTCGGCAGCTATTGAAAGAAGCCGGCTACGTCACCGGCGACGACGACCTGAAACTCACTGCGCGGGGCATCCGCCGCATCGGTCAGAAAGCGCTGCGGGAGGTCTTCATACACTTGAAGAAGGACCGCAACGGCAATCACGACCTGGACGTCCGGGGCGCCGGCGGCGACCTGCTGGGCGAGACCAAGCCCTACGAGTTCGGCGATCCCTTCCAGATCGACCTGCAGTCCACGGTAAAGAACGCCATCGTACGGGGCGGGCCACAGATTCCGGTGAAGATAAGTCCCCAGGACTTTGAGATTTACCGCAACGAGCACATGACCCGCGCCGCCACCATCGTGCTGTTGGACCAGAGCCGGTCCATGGGCCTCTTCAACAACTGGCAGGCCGCCAAGAAGGTCACCCTGGCCCTCTTCTCCCTGATTCGCACCCAGTATCCAAGAGATACCCTGCACGTGGTTGGCTTTTCCGACTACGCCCGGAAATCAAGGAGGAAGACCTGGCATCCCTTAGCTGGAATGCCTGGGTTTCGGGCACCAACCTGCACCACGCCCTGATGCTGTCCCGCAACCTCCTGGCCAAGGAGAAGGGCGGCACCAGGCAGATAATTGTAATCACCGACGGGGAGCCAACGGCCCACCTGGAGAACGGCCGCTCCTACTTCAACTACCCGCCCAGCTACCGCACCGAGCTGGAAACCCTAAAAGAAGTCAAGAAGTGCAGCCAGGAGGGCATTGTCATCAACACCTTCATGCTGGAAAACAACTACCAGTTGGTGAATTTCGTTGACCGGATGACCCGCATCAACCGAGGCCGCGCCTTCTACAGCAGCTCGGAGAACCTGGGCGAATATATCCTGGTTGACTACATGAACAACCGGAAAAAGCGGGTGACGGGGGTAGCATCGCGGTTAGTGAATTTGGCCAGAGATACCAGCTGAGGCCTGCCAAAGGTCAGAGATGCGTTAAGATTAGTGGAACGGGACGGATGGCGACTAGTGAACACTCGGGGCAGTCATCGCCAATTTCAACACCCTGACAAACCTGGCACCGTTACAATCCCGGGACACTCCAGCGATGATCTGGCTCCCAAGACTTGGCGAAGTATCCTTCCAAGCCGGATTGACGAGGGAAAATTGATGAAGGCTAGTTACGCAGTTGTGTACGAAGAAGCTCAGAACAACTACTGCGCCTATCTTCCGGATTTCCCCGGTTGCATCTCCACGGGAAAGACTTGGGACGAAGTCCAAAGAATGGTGCGGGAAGCTGTGGAATTCCATATCGAAGGGATGATCCAACACGGCGACTCGTTGCCAGAGATCCCGATATCTCTGGAAGCCGCAAAGGCTTATCACAACGAGCCTCTCTCTAAGAGGGAGCAGGACAGCCTGGCAGACTATGGTGAAGAACCTCCAACCCTTACTACCACCTTCGGAACGGTTGAGGTTGAGATTTCGGTGTTCACCGTGTCTCCTGGCGCAGTATAAAGTGCAAGCGTAGCGCAATTGCTGAAAGCCGTGCACCGGAGTGCGTTTATTGACGAAATATGTTATAGTCAGGCGGTGATTTCGTGGTCAGGGTCGGGTTGCTGGTAAACTCGCCCCCCCAAACTTGAACAACTGAATAACCCCCTTGGGCTCGGCAAGTTTACCCTGGTAAACCTGCCGTCTTTTAAGCAGTCCCGTGAGGCTGGCAAAGTGTTTCGCCCTTTATCGGTCAGGTCAACGCCGCGGCAACGCGGTGCAGACTGGCCGGCTTAACCCCTTGCCGCCTGGGTAAGGGGTATTATTTTGGAATCCAGCGCCGTGACCGGCTAAGCAACAACGGGAGTCAACATGAAAATAGTCAGCATCGTGGGCAGTCTGCGGCAGGACTCGTGGAACCACAAGCTTACCCGGGTGGCCATTGATATCCTCAAGGGCAAGGGGATTAAGGTGGAAGAGGCCAGCCTGGCAGGTCTCACCCTGTTCAACGGAGACCTTGACGACGGCACCTTCCCCGGGCCGGTGGCTGCCCTGCGGGACGCCATGCACTCAGCAGACGGGCTGTTGGTTGCCGCCCCTGAGTACAACCACTCCATTCCCGCTGTACTGAAGAACGCCATCGAGTGGACCTGTCGGCCGCCCAACTGCTGGACCAACAAGGTCGTCTTTGCCATGGGCACCACCCCTGGCCGGTCGGGCGGCATACGGATGCACCTGCACTTGTCCGACTGCCTCCAGTGCGAGGGAGCGTAGCTTATTCCCAGGCCCATGGTACTGGTTCCCAACGCCGCCAGCGTCTTCGGAGGGAATGGCGAATTGCTGGACCCCACCGTTGGCGACCAGCTTGAAGAGGGCATGACCAGGCTGGTGGAGACCATCAATACTGTAGCCGGTACCCGGGTCTAACCCGGACTGGAGCTAACTTGTGATGCCTGCCAATGGCAGCGAGATGCCGGAACGTCGGATAATGGATGCGCAGGAAATCCAGCGTTCCCTGTCCCGCATCGCCCACGAGATTCTGGAGCGGAACCGGGGCGTCGAGGACCTGGTGCTGGTGGGCATCCACACCCGTGGCGTGATTTTGTCCCAGCTATTGGAACAGAACATCCTGCGCTTTGAGGGCAACTGCGCCCCCTTGGCAGAACTGGATATCAACCTGTATCGCGACGATTTGCAGGCTCGGGAGAGTCCCCGTGTCCGGCCCACCAAATTTCCGGTGGACATCCGCGGCAAGAACGTAGTGCTGGTGGATGATGTCCTTTTCACCGGCCGCACCATCCGTGCTGCGCTGGACGCCCTCAGCGATCTGGGCCGGCCCCGGCAGGTGCAGCTAGCGATTCTGGTGGACCGGGGCCACCGCGAGTTGCCGATACGGGCGGACTACGTGGGCAAGAACGTGCCCACCAGCCTGGACGAAGAGGTCAAGGTGCGGCTGACGGAAACGGACCAGACCGAGGATGTAATCATCGTCAAACTGGGGCGGGAGATAAAATGACCACTCCGGACGCAATGGCGCTGGGCAATGAGTCCCAGGACGTGGCGCTGACCGCATCTGCCAGCACCCGCCGCAACGTGCTGGACCTGGACGATTTCTCTGCAGAAGAAATCACGTCAGTCCTGGACGATACGGGAGCCATGGTTGAGGTGCTGCGGCGGGACATCAAGAAGGTGCCCACCCTGCGGGGCCGTGTCGTCGTCACCATGTTCTACGAGTCCAGCACCCGCACCCGCATCTCCTTCGAGGAAGCGGGCAAGGTGCTCAGTGCCGACGTCATCAATATGTCCAGTTCCGGCAGCAGCGTGGACAAGGGAGAGTCGCTGCTGAACACGGGCCTCACGATACAGGCCATGGGCGTGGACGTGGTGATCATCAGGCACCCCCACTCGGGAGCCCCATATTTGCTGGCCCGCCATCTGCCCCAGGTATCGGTTATTAACGCCGGAGACGGCATGCACGCCCATCCCACGCAGGCTTTGTTGGACCTTTACACCATGCGGGAAAAACTGGGCAGCCTGGGTGGCAGCAAGGTGGTCATCGTGGGCGACGTGCTGCACAGCCGGGTGGCCCGCTCCGATCTGTGGGGTCTGACCAGGATGGGCGCGCAGGTCACGTTGTGCGGCCCAACCACCCTGATCCCCCTGGACCTGCTCAGTGGGAGGGACGAACTGGAAGAAGACCATCCCTTCGCCCACGTTGACGTGGACACCGACCTGGACCGGGCCATCGAGGGCGCCGACGTGGTCATGGCTCTGCGCCTCCAGTCGGAACGACAGCAGAGCGGCTTCCTGCCCAGCCTGCGCGAGTACATCCGCCGCTGGCAGGTAACCGAGGAACGTTTGGCTCGGGCCAAGCCTGGGGCCCTGGTGATGCACCCCGGCCCAATGAACGAAGGCGTGGAGATAAGCACCGCCCTGGCCCACGGGGAAAGCTCGGTAATTGAAGAGCAGGTAACCAACGGCGTGGCCGTTCGCATGGCCCTCCTTTACCGCCTCTGCGCCGGCCGAGGAAACCGGATAGGAGAACCAGGGTAAATGGCAACAGCCGCCCCACCTGTCATCCTGAACGAAGCGGGAACCGACTCCCTTTTCCCTGTCATCCCGACAGAACCGGGGCGTAGCCCCCTTGGCTGTCATCCTGAGCGAAGCGGAGTCGAAGGGTCTAAAATCCCCAGCCATGAGAAGCCTTGTATAGCAAAGGGGTCCCGATCATTGAAGACTTCAATGATCACCGGGCCCATGCCTTGGCAGGCAATTAACCAGAAGTAATCGAACACAGTCACAACAGGACAGCGCTAAATTGGTAAACCGCAACTACAACAGACCGGTATTGATCAAAGGAGCCCGAATCGTTGACCCCGGACGCGGGGTCGACGCCGTCGGAGACGTCTTGACCCAGGAAGGGCGGATCGCCTCGGCAGGCCCTACCTTGTCCCCTTCGGACGTGCCCGACGGTACTCACTCCATCCCGGCCAACGGACTGGTGCTGGCGCCCGGGTTTATCGACCTCCACTCCCACCTGCGGGAACCAGGTTATGAATACAAGGAGACCATCGCAACCGGCACCGCCGCGGCAGCGCGCGGCGGGTTCACCACCGTGTGCTGCATGCCCAACACCGACCCGGCCATCGACAACGAGGCGGTGGTGGAACTGGTAAAGCGGCGGGCCGAGTCCGACGGGGTGGTTCGGGTCTTTCCCATCGGCTGCGTTACCAAGGGTCGCAAGGGCCGCGAACTGGCGGAGATGGAAGAACTGGCCGCCGCCGGGGTGGTGGCCTACAGCGACGACGGCGACCCGGTCTACGACCACAACCTGATGCGCCTGGCCCTCACCTACACCCTGGACCTAGGCATGCCCATCAGCAACCACTGCCAGGAACACAGCCTTTGTCCCCGCGGGGTAATGGCCGAGGGCTGGACTGCCACCCGACTGGGCCTGCCCGGCATTCCGGCCGCCGCCGAGGAATCAATGGTGGCCCGGGACCTGGCCCTGGCGGAAATGACCGGCGGCTGGCTCCACCTTGCTCACCTGAGCACCGCCGGGTCAGTAGACCTGGTGCGGCAGGCAAAGAATCGGGGAGTCTCCGTCACCTGCGAGGTTTGCCCGCACCACCTGTTCATTACCGACGAGTGGGCTCTTGGCTACCAGGGCGATAAGGGCCGCGCCGCGGGGCCCCTCAACTACGACACGTCCACCAAGGTATATCCCCCGCTCCGCAGCCAGACTGACGTAGAGGCGCTGATTGCCGGGCTGGCCGAAGGGGTAATCGACTGCATCGCCACCGACCACGCGCCCCACGAGGTTGCCAGCAAGCAGGTCACCTACGAGGAGGCTTCTTTTGGGATAAGTGTCCTCGAAACGGCCCTGGGCTCGCTGATGTCCCTGGTCCACCACGGGCGAATTTCCTTGAGCACCCTGGTTGCCCGCCTTACGGTTGGCCCCTCTCGGGTACTGGGGCCCAGCTTCGAGAAATACGCCACCCTGGAAGCAGGCTCTCCGGCGGACCTGGTGCTGCTTGACCCCGACGCCGAGTGGACCGTAGACACCCGGCAGTTTGCCTCCAAGGGCAAGAACACGCCGCTGGAGGGCGTGTCCCTCAAGGGCCGTGTGACCTCCACCATGGTTGACGGCCGGCTCGTGTACCAGGACTACGGAGTTTAGTTAGACCAATTGATCAACGAACAGGCACCAATTACCACGAATAGATATTAGTGAATATTCGTGCCTGTTCGTGGAAAGAAAAAAGGGGTTTTGAATCTTGTCCACATCTGCTAGTAACAGTCCCGTCCCGGCCTACCTGGTTCTGGAGGACGGGTCGGTACACCGGGGCGAGTCCATGGGGGCTCTGGCTACAGGCCACGGCGAGGTGGTCTTCAATACGAGCATGACCGGCTACCAGGAGGTTTTGACCGATCCTTCCTATGCTGGTCAACTGGTTACCTTGACTTATCCTCTGGTGGGAAATTACGGTATCAATCCGCAGGATTTTGAGTCGGCGAAGATACGGGTGGCGGGCCTTATCGTCAGGGAACACTGTGACCGTCCCAGCCACGGCCAGAGCGACCGGACGCTGGACGAATACCTCAAGGCGCAGAACATCCCTGGCATCTGCGGGGTGGACACCCGGGCCATTACCAGGCGACTACGACAACATGGCGTGATGATGGGTCTGTTGACTACCGAATCTCCTGAAGCGGCTGTAGCTCAGTTGGCCGAAATGCCCCGGTACGATGACCAGGACCTTGTGAGGACAGTTACCACAGAAGCCCAGTACCGATGGGACGGGGAACCAGTGACTTTGGAAGCTCTTCCATTGACTGCGTCTGGAAATATTTCTCGGCCAACCCTAGTCGTAGGGTCTCCAGGTGAAAATAGCGGTGAAACGCAAGAACCTCGCCCCCGCATCCTCGTAACCGATGTGGGGGTGAAGTACAACATCCTGCGGTTGCTGCAGGAGCGTGGCTGCGAAGTCATCGCCATGCCAGCGGCTACCTCCGCCGAAGATATGCTCGCAATGAATCCGTCAGGAATCCTGCTGTCCCCCGGGCCCGGCGACCCACAGTTGCTGGACTACGTGGTAGACAACGTGCGGCAGGTACTGGGCCGCGTGCCGGTGATGGGCATCTGTTTGGGGCACCAGTTGGTGGCCCGGGCCCTGGGGGGCCAGACCTACAAGCTGCCCTTCGGCCACCGGGGCGGCAACCATCCGGTGCAGGATATGTCATCTGGTCGGGTGTATATAACCGCCCAGAATCACGGATTTGCGGTAGACCCGGACACCTTGCCCGCGGGTCTGGAGGTGTCCCACATAAATCTGAACGACGGTACCGTCGAGGGTACCCGCCACCGGGATATGCCTCTGTTCACGATTCAATACCATTCAGAGGCGTCGCCCGGCCCTAGGGACAACGAGTATATTTTCGACCAGTTCCTGGGAATGGTTAAGGAGTTCAACCACTAGCCTGTGTGTGGAGGTGTGGCAAAGGGGTTTGCTCTGGCGCCGATGTCATCCGCAAATAGACGCGGAGTTTCCGGTGGCCAGGCTGGTTAGTCCAATTCCTGAACGCACTATTTGGAGGGTATTATGTCCACATTCTCAATGGTATTGGTGGAGGAAGGCGTAGAAGCGGATCTTCCCATTAATCTGTCTAACATGCTCGGACTGCTGGACCAGATCGTGCCCAACATCGAGCACAACAACTTTGGTTACCAGTTGGCCTCGGTGAGCCGGGCCAACCTGAGAAGCCGCTGGGAGTTGAACGTCAAGCTGGTTGACCTGCGCAACAACAAGGTGTACGAAGAGCCGGTGGGCTGTATCGAGGTCCAGAAGACGGGCGACGATACGGTCAATTTCCGGGTTCCGCCTCGTGCGGAGCAGGACTTCCCCGGCATGGCCAAGCTGGACTTCGACGGCGTCTACTACGGCTCTTTCTGCTGCCAGATGATCAACTCCTTGTATGACCGGGGGTTAATGCAGCTGCCGGGCAGGCTGCCGACCTTTTAGAAAAACTGGAAAGGGCACCTCTCGTAGGTGCCCTTATTGTGGGAAGGGTCCTTTAGGTGGTGGTGCGGAGGGCGGTCAACAGAGCTGCGCCTGCCAAGGTGTCCGGGGACAATGCGGCACCTGGTGGGAATAAAAGACTGTAGGGACGCCCCTTGTGGGTGCCCTGATGCAGTGAGCAAAGCTACGGCAAGACCTGCTGAGGTTCCTGCCTGCGCAGGTACGAAGGAATTCATGGAGGACATTAGGCTAACTTGAGCAACGCAACACCGCCACTGGAAAAAGTACTGGTTATTGGCTCCGGCCCCATCGTCATCGGCCAGGCCGCCGAGTTTGACTACGCGGGAACCCAAAGCCTGCAAGGCCTTGCGGGAAGAGGGCGTGTCCGTCGTGCTGGTCAACTCCAACCCCGCCACCATCATGACCGACACGGACATTGCCGACCACGTCTACATCGAACCCCTGACCGTTGAGGTCATTGAGCGTATCATCGCCAAGGAGCGACCCCAGGGCATCCTTCCTACCCTGGGCGGCCAGACGGGCCTGAACATGGCCGTGGCCCTGTCCGACGCCGGCGTGCTGGACCGGTACAACGTGCGGCTGCTTGGCACTCCGTTGGAGACCATCCGCAAGGCCGAAGACCGTGAATTCTTCCGCAACTTCCTGCATGACATCGGCGAACCGGAACCGCCCAACCGTACCGTAAACTCGATGGAAGAGGCGTTGGCCTACCGCGAAGAGATGGGGTTGCCCCTGGTGGTCCGTCCCGCCTACACCCTGGGCGGCACTGGCGGCGGAATCGCCAATACCCAGGGAGAGTTTGAGGCGACAGTAGCCAGCGGCCTGGCCTCCAGCCCCATTTCCCAGGTGCTCCTTGAACGCTCCCTGGTCGGCTGGAAGGAGATCGAGTACGAGGTTATCCGGGACGGGGACGACAACTGCATTACCGTCTGCAACATGGAGAATCTCGACCCCATGGGCGCGCACACTGGCGACAGCATTGTGGTCGCGCCCAGCCAGACCCTGACCGACAAGGAATACCAGATGCTGCGCTCCGCCAGCCTCAAGATTATCCGGGGCCTGGGCATTGAGGGCGGCTGCAACATCCAGATGGCCCTGCGTCCTCATCCGGACGTGGAAGCGGCCATCCAGTCTCACTGGGAGCCGGACTCTCCCTACTACGTTATTGAAGTCAACCCTCGGGTAAGCCGCAGCTCAGCTCTGGCCAGCAAGGCCACCGGCTACCCCATCGCCCGGGTTTCCGCCAAGATCGCCGTGGGCAAGCGGCTGCACGAGATTCCCAACGCCGTTACCGGCAAGACCGGCGCGGCCTTTGAGCCGGCCCTGGACTACTGCGTGGTCAAGATTCCCCGTTGGCCCTTTGACAAGTTCCCCAACGGCGACCGCCAGATTACAACGCAGATGAAGGCCACCGGCGAGGTGATGGCCATCGACCGCTCCTTTGAGGCGGCGCTGCAAAAGGCCATTCGCTCGCTGGAAATCGGCAACCGGACCCTCCTCTGGGAAGGCATGGCAACCGATGGCCACGGGGAAGGCCCGGACACCAGAAATTTGATGGAGCCCAACGACCTGCGCCTGTGGGCGTTGATGGCTGCCCTGCGCCGCAACACCCCACCGGAAGAGTTGATGGGCAAGACCTTCATTGACCCCTGGTTCATCAGTGCCATGCAGCGCATCGTCAACATGGAACGCCGTCTGCTGGGCGAAACTTTGACTCCCGACCTCCTGTACCGGGCCAAGCGGCTGGGCTTTTCCGACCGCCAGGTGGGTACCCTGGCCGATATGCTTCCGGAGCAGGTGCGGAACCTCCGGCACGACTGGAACCTCCGCCCGGTATACAAGATGGTGGATACCTGCGCTGCCGAGTTCGAGGCCGTCACCCCCTACTACTACAGCACCTACGAAGAGGAGAACGAGGCCCTGCCCTTGCCAGGGAAAAAGGCCATAGTCATCGGCAGCGGCCCCATCCGCATCGGCCAGGGCATCGAGTTTGACTACTGCAGCGTCCACGCCGCTTGGGCGTTGTCCCAGGCCGGCGTCTCCAGCGTAATGATCAACTCCAACCCGGAAACGGTGTCCACCGACTTCGACACCAGCGACCGGCTCTACTTCGAGCCCCTAGACGAGGAGGCGGTGCGGGACATCATCGACAACGAGACGGTGGACGACGTGCCCCCGCCTTCCGTGGTCCAGTTCGGCGGGCAGACGGCCATCAACCTTTCCCAGGGCCCTGGCCCGCGCCGGTCTGCCTATCCTGGGCTCCAGCGCCGATGCCATTGACGTGGCCTCCGACCGACAGAGGTTTGAGGAATTCTTGTCCCGGCTGGGCATCCCCCAACCGCCGGGAGCGTCGGTTACCTCGGTGTCGGAGGCCCTCCAGGTGGCCCAGAACATCGGCTACCCGGTGGTTGTGCGGCCCAGCTACGTGCTGGGCGGCCGAGCCATGGAGATTGTCCAGAACGCTTCCGAACTGGTTCGCTACCTTACCGTGGCAACCGAGGTAACCCCGGAACGGCGGGTCCTGGTGGACCACTACATGGAAGGCAAGGAATGCGAGGTTGACGCCATCTGCGACGGCGAGCAGGTGCTGATTCCCGGCATTATGGAGCATATCGAGCGGGCCGGTGTCCACAGCGGTGACTCCATGGCCATCTACCCCGGCCTCAACCTCACCGAGCAGGAAGTGGACACCCTCGTCGAATATACCACCCGCATCGGCCTGGCCATGGGCGTACGGGGCTTGATGAACATCCAGTTCGTCATCCAGGGCGGCGCCGCCTACCGTAGTCCCCATTCCCCTACCGACGATACGGAGACGACCGTTTACATCATTGAGGTCAACCCCCGGGGCAGCCGCACCATTCCCTTTATATCCAAGGTTACCAGCGTGCCGGTCGCCCACATCGCCACCCGGGTCATGCTGGGCGAGACCCTGGCTGACATGGGCTATTCCGGCGGATTGTGGCCGCGGCAGAAATTGGTGGGCATCAAGGCCCCGGTCTTCTCCATGTCCAAGCTGGTGGGCGTAGACTCCTATTTGGGCCCGGAGATGAAGTCCACCGGCGAGGTTATGGGTATTGACCGCGACTTCCCCAGCGCCCTGTCCAAGGCCCTGTTGGCGGCCAGCCTGAACCTTAAAAAGGGGGATGGCATACTCCTGAGCATCGCCGACCAGCACAAGGCCGAGTCGCTGGCGTTGATCCGCGAACTGCTGGAGGCAGACTGCAAGCTATACGCCACCGAGGGCACGGCAGCCATGATCCAGGCCACCGGCATGCCGGTAACCATGGTAACCAAGCTCCTGACCGAGTCCTACCCCAACGTCGTGGACGTCATCAACGACGGCACGGTGAGCGCGGTGGTCAACACCCTGTCGGGCGACACATCCGTGATGCGGGATGGGTACTACATCCGTCGGGCCGCGGTGGAACACCGCATACCTTGCTTCACCTCGCTCGACACGGCCCGGGCCGCTGTAGAAGCATTGCTGATGCAAGGCGGTGGCTACAGTGTCGAGCAGATAGACGCCTATTTGCGGCCTGTGGAGGGGTAGGTGGGTCCGGCCTGAGCCCCGACCCCAAAAGGTGAACAGTTACGGACAGAAAGCGCCGGTAGACGAGCGCGGCCTGATAACGGACAATATCAAAGACGATCATCATTTCGCCAGCCAACCACTCGAAGAAGGGCCAGCAACGTGAGAGGAGACGACTGTATGATTGACTGGGAGAAGTGTCCAGCAGTCGAAAGCGTACCTGGAAGGCTCAGCGGAGCTTGGGTGTTCACCAGGACTCGGGTGCCGGTCTCAGCCCTGTTCGGGAACCTGGCCGCCGGAGCCACCATAGAAGAGTTCCTGGACTGGTTTGAAGGCGTGGAGAACTGGCAGGTAAACGCCGTACTGGAACACGTGGTCGAGGGCCTGGACGCCAAGATAAGGCATGAGAATCCTGTTTGACCACAACATTCCAGGGCCCTTGCGCCGCTACCTTACGGAACACACTGTAGATACCGCCAACGAGAAGGGCTGGGCCGAACTCAGAAATGGAGACTTGCTCAACAGCGCAGACACAGAAGGCTACGAAGTTGTGATAACCGCAGACCAGAGTTTGCGTTATCAGCAGAACATCTGCCATAGGCAAATCGCTGTCATAGTCATACTCTCCAACAGATGGCCTGATGTACGATTGAAGATTGAAGAGATCCGCTCTGCCCTGGAAGACCTGGACCCGGGTGAACTTCGGGAAGTCCCCATATAAAGTTAGACCCGGTCAACAGATCTCTCGACCCTATCACCAACAAGGAGGTCATTAACCATGAGTTGGGATTTTGAACTGGTAGCGGGACCCTACGGCGGCACCACCGAAGGTGCGGTTTGGGACGGCGAGGCCGTCATCTTCTCCCACATACCCGCGAGTCGCCTGCTGCGGTATGACCCCAGGACTGGGGAGACCACCGAGTATTTCACCAACGTCAACCACGTCAATGGGCTCTGCTTCGACGTTTCCGGCAACCTGTTCGGCTGCCAGCAGGGCGGGCGGCGCATTGTCCGGTTCGAAAAGGACGGCCAGACCATAACCTCGCTGCCTCACATGCTGGACGGAAAGCGGCACAATAACCCCAACGACCTGGTGGTGGACCGGTCGGGCCGCATCTGGTTTACCGACCCCTACAGCGGCATCGGCGACAGCGGTCCCCAGGAACTGGACCACATGTCGGTCCTGCGGCTGGATCCCACGGGCGACGGCGACTACGAACTGTCGCGGGTAACCACTGACATCAGCCGGCCCAACGGCGTCATTATCTCCCGCGACCAGAAAACCCTGTACGTAGCCCAGAGCGACTACGGGCTGGATCGGCTTCGGGAACTGCGGGCCTATCCCATCAACGACGACGGGTCACTGGGCCAGTACGAGACCCTGCACACCTTCGGCGTTGACCATCGTGGCGCCCAGCGCGGCGTGGACGGCATGACTCTAGACACCGACGGCAACATCATCGCCTGCGCCGGCTGGGAAAGTGGCGGCCCCGGCCCCATGATCTACGTCTTCTCTCCCGAAGGCCGGGTGCTGGAAACTCACCCCATTCGCGCCGAGCGGGCCACCAATTGCTGCTTCGGAGACGCCGACATGAAAACCCTCTACGTAACCACTGGCGGCGGCCACCTCTTCCGCGCTAGGACGGACCACACCGGCTGGATAATGTGGCCGTAAAGGGACTTCTGTATTTGCGAAGTCTATGAAACGGGAAGCCACGCTCTCTGTGGCTTCCCGTTTCACTCTGTTGGGTATCTTGCCGATTCCCTGATTCTTCAAGACTTCGCCAATGGGGGAAGAGATCCTGATCAATGCCATAGTTCATACGCAGAACGTGGTTGTTCCAGTCTTGAAAAGCCTATGTGAGAACTTTACTAAAGGGCAAAATTCTTGCCAACTCTCGAGGCATGCCTGCTAACTCTTCCAGTTCCTTTTTTCTGCCAGTCTTCTAGCAATTGTCGGTAGCTGCATGAAAGGAATTTAACCTCGTCACCCTCTACAGTCGCGGCAAAACCTGCAATTTCCTGACGGTGACGTTGAATAGCTGCTTCTGACAATGGTAAGCCAGTTGTGGGCCAAGATTCCGGCTCGGCATATACGTAGAGGAGTACAGGATTGAGTCCGTGATTCTCTCCTAGTTTGTTGACTTGTGTACGTAGAGCGAAAGCGTGTTTGAAAAGCTGAGCGGTGTCTAAGGAATAAATTCCGCCTCTGTTGGCACCCACTTCATCCCTTACCTGTTCAAAGCCTCTCATTCGGTCACCCCAGCACTGACGCCAATAAGCGTTGGGAAGGGATTTGACACGGTTTCTCCTGAAAGGCTCAAAACGCTTGCACTCAATGCCAATTAGGGCCGAGGGAGTGGTAACCAGCACATCAAGAACGGGATGGCGTCCGCCTCTCCAGGGAAGCCTCACCGTCTGCTCAAGAGCAACAGAAATTGCGGGCCATTCTTCGTCAGCGCACCCAGGTAGTGGCGGCAGGTCGATTGCAGAGTTAAAGAAAAACCCGAACACATTTGCTGCCAGATTGGCCGAGGACTCTGGACTATCGAATTTACCGGAGGAAATCTCATTGCCCTTGGCATTTCGGTAAGCTGTTTCCACTTGTTCTGATGGGATTCAAGACAAGGAGCGGCCAACCATTGCAAGCTCCTGAATAGCCGCTTGCACTTAATTCGTAGCATAGCTTTTTGCTACCACTCCATGTCCATCCCCAAACCCTTCTCCTTGGCGTTGTCGTGGGCCAGCTTGGCGGCGGCCACGTCGGCGACCCCCGTGCCCATCAGCTTGGCGTAGATGATCTGGTCGGCGCTGTCCCTGCCGCTGACCGTGCCCGCCACCGCATGGCGTAACTCTAGCAGCTGGCTCCATTGCAAAATCCCCCGGTCCACGGCTCCGGCCAGGTCCCCCACCTCGATGGGCGCCTGTTCCGGCGAGTCCACAAAAATCTTGGCGGCGCGGGCAAAGGTGGCGTCGTCCACCTCGCGGGCCCGCCAGGTGGTCGGTCCGGCCCCTATCACCGTGGCCCCGGGAGACAGCCAATCCCCTTGCAGCACTGGGTCCAGCACGGCGGCGATGCAGATGACAATATCGCTGCCCGAGACGGCTTCCTCGGCACTGTCCACCGAGTCCACCTCGACGCCCAAAGAGTTGGTCATGCCCTGTGCGAAGGCGTTGCGGCGTTCCTGAGTGCGGCTGTAGGCCTTGACCTTCTTAAGGTTGCGCACCTTGCTGACCGCCTCCAGCTGGGTGGGTGCCTGGTAGCCGGTGCCAATGATGCCTACGGTGGCGGCATCAGGGTTGGAGAGGTGCTTGACCGCGACGCCGGTGGTGGCCCCGGTTCGCAGTTGGCCCAGCCGGTTGGCCTGCGTGTAGCACATCAACTCGCCGGTGTCGGCGTTGTAGATGCTGACCTGGAAGGAGTACTTGCCTTGCACTACGGTGTAGGTCTTGACGCCGAGAATGCCGTCGTAGAAGAGACCGCCGCCCATGACCGACAGCATCCCGCCCGGCGCGATGATCTTGCGCCGGCCCAGGTTCATCACCTCGCCGTGACCGTAGTGCCGCTGCATATCTTCTATAGCGACCAGCATTTCGTCCATGCCTACCGCCTGGTTTACCTCTTCATCCCGCAGAAACAGGGCCATAGTTGCCTACCTCTATTCTTCAAGTCTGAAATTAACCCGCACAGTTTACCCGCCTCAGCCGCGTCTGGCAAAATCCGTACTTCCTGAATACACTGGGCGGCAAAAAACCACGAAGTTCAAATCTCTTCGTGGTTCTTCGTGTTCCTTCGTGGAAAAAGGACGGCGAGGAAACGAAAACTAGTTGTCGCCGCCGCCAGGCTGGGCCGCCGGGGCCGCCCTTGGCGGGGCATTGCTAGCTGTGGGGGTGCGCTGGAACATGGCCACTATGCCGCCCGAAATCATAATCCAGACCACGGCGAGAGCAGAAATCTGGAACCCGCTCAGGTAGTGGGTCTGAGCTTCCGCCGAGGGCATCAGGTCAATGGCCACGGGCAGCGCCAGTCCCAGCACCGTGGCGCTGACGGTGGTGCCTATCGAGTGGCCCATTTGGCGGGTGGTCTCCAGCATACCCGAGGCAAAGCTGCGGTTCTCGGGCAGCGAGTTCATCACCGTTGCATTGTTGGGCGAGTTGAACATGTTGGACCCCACCGCAATAGGCAACAACAGCACGGGCAACCAGTAAATGGGTATGTTGTCGGCAAAAAAGCCGGCCAGCAGGAAGCCTGACGCGATAAGCATCAGGGAGCCTGGCCGCAGCCAGCGGGGGTTGTGCCGGTCATGGATCCAGCCGCCCAGGGTGGGCAGGAACAGACCCAAAACCTGGTTGGGCAGCAGGACAAAGGCTACCATTATTGGAGCCTGGCCCAGTCCGTTTTCCACCAGTATCGGTATCAGCGTGGTAACCGCCAGCATGGACAGGTGGAAACAGGTGTTGGTGAACAGGGCCATTGAGAAGTACTTCTGTTTGAAGTACCCGAAATCAACAAAGGGATCGTTGCTGCGCTGCTGGATGATTATAAACAGTATCAGGCAGGCAAAGAACAGCAGGTGCATCGGAATGTGATAGCTGAGGGCGTCGGGAGTGGTGAATGACTCGGCCCCGTCGTGCATGTGCAGGCCCGACAGGATGAAGGTTCCCAGGGTAGCAACCATCAGGATGGCGCCAACATAGTTGATGGAGACCTGCTTCATATCCTCGGTCGCCTGCTGGGCGTGGTACTTCAGCAGGGGGAGGCTGCAATAGATGGCCAGCAACCCGATAGGCAGGGAAGAGATGAAGACCAATCTCCAGCCCCATTGCAGACTGAAGAATTGCAGGAACAGGCCAAACATACCCAGCCCGATCAGGGTTCCGAAACGCGCGGCCACCACCGGCACTGCAAAGGCGCGGCCCCGCTCCTCCGCCGGGAATACCATGGCCAGAATGGCGTTGGAGTTGGCGGTAACCATGGCACCGCCGATGCCCACCAGTCCGCTCCAGAGAATTAACTGGGTCGTGGAAAATGAGGTGGCTGCCATCACGCTGGCGCAGACAGGACGATGGCGCCGACGAAGTAAACCCTGGCATGCCCGTATCTCTGGCCCAACCGGGCGGCGAGGAACACGGTACAGCCCAGCATCAGCAGCCGGATGACAACCATCCAGGCAGCCTCGGCAACGTTTACCTCAAAGTGGCGCGCTACTGAAGGAATGACCAAGGCAACGGGCATGCTGGCCAACTGCACCAGCAGTTGCGTGGCCGCCAGACCTATCATGGTCTCTTTGCGCTGGCGGTCGGTGCCCAGTTCCTTGAAATTGCCGATTACGTTCAGTCGGCGAACAATCAGAAAGAGAAGATCCAAGCTGTTTCCCTTGTGCTGTCGTAGCGGATTGCCGTTGCCGTGGTAGTCCCTGGTAGTTCAGCAGCTTAATGCTGCGGATTTGCAACGGCCCTGCCGGCCCGAGCCGGCTCGGGGTTACTTGCGGAAGAAGACCCGGTTTTTCTGGACGTATTCCCGCATGGTGGCGGGTACCGTAAATTCGTCGAAGATAGCGTTTACCGGGCACGCCGATTCGCAGTAGGCGCAGTCAATGCAGTCATCTGGATTGATGAAATACATTTCCGCTGCGTCGTCGGTGTGGATGCAGTCCACTGGGCACACCTCAACACAGGAAGCATCTTTGACCCCGATACAGGGTTCAGTAATAACAAAAGCCATTAGCCCTGTTCCTCCTCGTACATAGAGTCAAAAATGTTAAGCGCACTAGCCGTCCCCAGCGCACACTTCGGCTTATGCCAGTGTCCCCCATTTTCATTAGAGATTAGTATTTTGTCAAGCGATATTGTATAATATTTTATATCCATGTATTATATGCCTTAAACCCGTTAGAGGTAACTGGCAATTATGGAATTACGCGAGATTATCAGTTTTTATCATGTGGCCCGTCTGCACAGCGTATCCAAGGCGGCCCGCAAGCTGGAACTGGGACAGCCTACGGTAACAACTCACCTGCGAAAGCTGGAAGACGAGTTTGGTATTACTCTGTTCGACAGGATCAAGCGTCCAATCCAGATGACCTCTGAAGGATCCATATTTTTGGAGTTGATAACCCCCATAGTTGAATCGGTGGATACCCTGAAAACCCAGATGGACTATACGGAACGGCGTGGGTCGCTCCATATAGGGGCCTACCCGGACGTGGTAACTCATCACCTGCCCAGGCCGATCCAGTCTTACCTCGACTTTTACCCCGATGTTCGCCTCCAGTTGACCGCCCGCCCCTATGCGGGACTGATACAACTGGTGAAGTCCGGGGAACTGGACTTGGCGATTACCTCCCCGCCTCCCACTGACGAGCCCTCTCTCGAGTTTTTCAAGCTCTTCGATTACAGGGTAGTGCTGCTAACCCCTCCGGGGCACCAGTTGCTGCAGAAACACCCCATCGAACTGGAAGATATCGCCCACTGGCCGTTGATTCTTTCGAGTCCCGAGAGTATTACCCGTCGCAACCTGGAACAGTCCTTTAAGGACCACGGCATCCGGTTTGACGTTGTGCTGGGCGTGGACCACGCCGAGTCGGTCAAGCAGTACGTCGAAATTGGTATGGGAGTCGCCATCGGCAACGACTTTACTCTCCATCCCGAAGACCACAACAAGCTGGGCGTGGTATCACTGGAGCACATTTTCCCATCGTCGGTGCTGGGCGTGTGTACCTTGAGGGGCAAGTTCCTGGGCCGCGCTGTGCGTAACTTCATGGACACCCTGGTCAAGCACCTGAGCGACTTCCACGTCCACCTGGACGAGTGGGAAAGCACCCCCCAGGAAATCGCCAACCGGACTGACGACCTGGTGCAGGCGGGCAGGTAGAAGTCTCGACAGCAATCCCACCCCCAGCAAATCGGGAAAAGACGTTTCCCGTCATCCCATTATTGCTCGTCATTCCTGCGAAGCCAGAAATCTCGACGTTAACCGCCATTCCGCCTTAACTGTCTTCGAAAGATTAACCGCCACTCCAACAATAACTGCCGTTCCAACTCTAACCGTCATTCCTGCGAAGGCAGGAATCTCAGAGCCAGCAACCGTGCGACTTCCCGCCTTGCCGAAGGGACAGCGCAAGGGCAAACTAAACCGCGGGCCTTGTCCCAACTAGTCCAGGACTGACTCATCCACCGGCGCCTCCGCTGGCAGCACCTCTTTTACCCGCCTTTCCAGTTGCGGCCTTGGCAGCATCACGAAGCGGCGGCAGGTCACGCAAACCAGGCCAATATCCGCTCCCAGTCGGGTAACCCGCCAGTGGTAGCCACCACAGGGATGCGGTTTCTTGAGCCGCACCTGGTCGCCCACCTTTACTTCTAGGGCCATCCCTTTCCCTCATCTTCCAATGTTTGGTTGATCGCTTCGCGCAGCCTGGTAGTTGCCTGCCGCGCCGCCTCGGCGAAGTCCGCCCCTGTCGAGGCATAAATTATTCCCCGGGACGAGTTGATAACTGCCCGCCGCCCCCGGCCATCGGTACCATTCCTGACCGAAGCTTCCAGATCGCCGCCCTGCGCCCCTATGCCGGGAATCAAGAGAGGAGCATCGGGACAGATGCTTCTTACCGAGGCCAGCTGCTCCGGCACCGTGGCTCCCACCACCAGGCCCACGTTGCCCTTGCCGTTCCAGTCGAGGGATGTACGGGCCAGGTGCTCGTATACGGGCATCTTACCCTTGGGCGAAACCACCTTGAGGTCCTGCAAGTCTGCGGCGCTGGCATAGGAGCCTCGGCACCAGATGTAAACCCCTTTTGTCTCATCTTCAAGGAAAGGCTGGATTGTTTCGCCGCCGCCCCAGGGATTGACCGTAACAGCGTCAACACCCCACACCTCGAACATGGCCCTCGCATAGGCGGCAGCCGAAGGGCCGCCATCCCCCCGCTTGGCATCGGCAATTAGCTGCACTTGAGGGGCCACTTCGCGAATGTGCCGGACTGTCTGCTCCAGGGCCTGCAGGCCGGGGATGCCCAATGCCTCATAAAAGGAAAGGTTCGGCTTGTACGCGCACACCAGGTCGGCGGTCGCATCTATAATGGCCCGGTTGAAGTCCAGCACGTCGGGCACCGACATGCGGGACGGTTCCGGGTCGAGGCCGACGCATACCAGGCTACGGTTGGTCTCGCACGCCTGGTCAAGTTTTTCCAAAAAGGTAGGCATCGGTTACCCCCAAGTTCGACATATTATAGTCCCGCGCTCTGTCTCTATGCACATTATGTTCGATACCGTTTGCCACGAATGTGTCCGGTTGCTACCATTGGGAATCCAAAAGCTAATGACTTTCATGATGGCTCTGTCGAGGCAGCCGTGAAACTGCACCCTTACCTTGAAGAAGGCTTCTTCCTGACTCGCCTCAACCGCTTTGCCGCACTGGTGGAGGTGGCAGGACGGGAGGAAATGGTGCACGTCGCCAATTCCGGCCGCCTCCGGGAACTGTTCGTCACCGGGCGCCGGATGCTCTTGGCCCCCGCTCCTGGCGAACACCGCAAGACCCGCTACGACCTGGCCCTGGTGGACTTGGGGCACACCCTCGTCTCCGCCGACGCCCGTCTGCCAAACACCCTGGTCGCGGAGGCCCTGCACGCAGGAGATCTACCACCCTACGCCGAATATCCGGAAGTGCGTCGGGAGGTAACCTGCGGCGACAGCCGGCTGGACCTGATGCTGGAGGGGCCAACGGGCAAGTGCTACCTGGAAACCAAGTCGGTAACCCTGGTGGAGGACAACGGCATGGCCCTGTTTCCCGATGCGCCCACTACCCGGGGAGTGAAGCACCTGCACACCCTGATACAGGTCGCCGCCGGGGGGCACCGGGCCGGCGCCATCTTCGTGGTTCAGCGCAGTGACGCCCGTTTCCTTGTACCCCACGATGACGCCGATCCCGAGTTTGGCAGGGCCTTGCGCGAAGCCAGGGCCGCGGGCGTGGAGGTCCGCGCCTATAGTTGCGCGGTCACACCCGAGGAAATTCGGTTGGCTGAACCAATACCGGTTAACTTGTGAGGCCAGGCGGTGACTGCCAACAGCGTCCAACATCATCCGCCAACCCTGATGGCAGTCTATCAGCTCCTTTATGACGAGTACGGGCCCCGTAACTGGTGGCCCGGCGAAGGACCCTTCGACGTCATAGTGGGTGCCATCCTGACCCAGGCCGCGTCGTGGAAGAACGTGGAACTTGCCCTGTCCAACCTCAAAGCGGCGGACTGCTGGTCCTTCAAAGCCATTGACGCCTGCCCTCCGGCGGAACTGGCCGAAATCGTCCGTCCCTCCGGGTACTTCAATGCCAAAGCCGCCAAGCTCCAGGCCTTCGCCGCCCACGTCCTTCAGCAATACGAGGGCGATCTGGACCGGATGTTTGCCCTGGATACGGAGCTACTACGGGAGGAACTGCTGTCCATCCACGGCATCGGCCCGGAGACAGCGGACGATATTCTGGTATATGCTGCCCTAAAACCCTCCTTCGTCATAGACACTTACACCATCCGAATCCTGGAGCGGCTGGGCATTAAACCTGGTCAAGAGCGGCCAAAGTACGGACACTGGCAGCAATTATTCCATGAGCAATTACCCGCCGAAGTCCAACTGTTCAACGAGTTTCACGCCCTGCTGGATCACCACGCCGGCCAATCCTGCCGGAAGACGCCAGTCTGCAACGGCTGCTGCCTCCTGGACATCTGTGCTACCGGACAGGCCGCCGAGGCCGCCGATATTGCAAACAGACCAGCGTGACTCAAGTAATAAGAATCACTCAAATGGCGGGCCAATCTTGCCAACAATCATGTCGCCCTGAGCCTGCCGAAGGAGCTACTTTCGCCCCTTTTCAAATACAACATACCTCAGTCTCAGTCTCAGTTACCACTTTCTTCTCTTAGGATACAGGAGGCTTTTTGGCTGTTGTCCGATTTAATGACGGGAACATGCGACCCAACACACCAACGTCGGTTTGGCTAGTGGTTGACCTTCCGAGTCGAGCAGCTGTAATAGCGGAAAAATCAGAAAAAGCAAAGCAATGGTGGAATACGCCAAACAATGGGTTGGGGAAGCTGGTAAGAACATCAGCCCTGGTGAACGACACCAGGTTGAGTCAGGTCAGGCCGAGACTAGCAAACTGACGATATCAGTTAATGTAAGTTAGCGCGCTTCCGCGGTTGTCCTGTTTCTCTTGCCATGAAACAGTTGTTGAACTCGTCGGGCCCCTGGCATTACAACGACGAGTTGAAAGTAGAAGAACAGATTCTGCCACGCGCTGATTGTGAACGGTTCCCAAGTCAGAATACTCTTCGGCACTCCGACACGAAGCGACAGGCGGCGTTAGTTAAAGCCGACTCTATAATGCTAGGCCAGCGTCAGGGTAGAGGCGGGAAATAACTCTTCAGGATCGACCTTTTCAGGGATTACCCCTTGTTCGACATTGAATCGAACGAAGGTTTCCAGCGTCTTGCGGGAACTTTCGAACCCATAAGGGATCGGATCATCCCCCACTACCTCAGCCATTTTCAGCAGGGCCCGGTCCGCCTGGCTCGGATGGTCACCGGAGTGCAGGCCCTCGATGTAGTGGCTCTTGGCCGTCTTGAACACCTCGAACAACTCTTGCTCAAGGCCGGGATTTGCCTCCAGCCGCGCGTTCTTGACCACCACCATATGGCTTATAGGATAAATTCCAGTCTTTTGGTGCCAGGCGGCGTCGGCCGCGTCCGGCTCCGAGAACAGGGGTTGGACATCGGGCGAGTCGACCGGTCCCGCACCAATTGCGGCGTCTATCTCTCCGGAGAGCAGCATTTCCCCCAGGTCCCCATTGGGGGACGACACACATTCGGTGGCGCGACGAATTCGGCGACGTGTTCATCGCCGGACAAAACCCAGGTTACGGCTTCCAGGTCCACACCGTACTCGGTTTGCAGGATGCCCCGTGTCCAAACCCCGGGAGTAAGCGTGTAGCTGCGCAGTCCTACCTTCCGCCCTTCCAGGTCTTTGGGTGACGTAATTCCACTGCGCGTATTGTGTACCAGCCCTCCGTGGTAGAAGGCCCGAGTCAAAAAGACGGGTATTCCAGTAAAAGGCTTCCCGTGGGCGCGGGCGCACATGTACGTCGAAAGGGCCATCTCCGCAACGTCGAACTCCAGACCGCGCACCATGCGCCGGAAAATGCTGACCACGGGGGACACTTCGATATGTTCCATGCTAAACATCGCCGAGGCGATGGTTCCGTCCTTCAACGGTGTCGTGTGACCGTAGCTACCCACGGCTGTCCGCAATACCAAGTCTGTCATTATCTCAATCTCCTGGTCACTGACTCCTGCTGGTCATAGCCCAACAACAAGCTACTCTTGTTTCCGTCGGTTGGCAACACTCGCCGTGGGGCCGGAGTTCCTTTTAATGAACGCTATCCATCATCCCTGTTTCATTTTGTTGGCCGGTTATGGGCTGGCCCATCCTAAACCAAAGAGCCTGTCTCATAAGTATTTTCGCCAACGACTATCGTACTATTGTGAGGTTAAGAGAGAGCTAACCGACTATTTTGCACAGTAATATGTCAAAACAATTATCGATCATGCCGATTACAGTTAAGAGCTTTGACTTCTGAGACAGGCTCCAAAGCCAAGGTGGGATGTGCATTTGCCGGGTGATGGGGATCGGGTCGGGAGTCTTGCAGGAGTGCTTCGGCCCTTGACTGCAGTACCGTCCGGCAGCGGCGCCTAACCTCGTCTCTCCGGCTGGCCAGACCGGCCAGGAAGTTGCCGACCCTCTCCTGCACCGCAGCCCTGCTCCCCAGGCAGAGATTGCCGGTGGCCTCCTCTCTGGTCCAGCCCCAGATGGCCTCATCGGCGTTGAAGTCCGGGCTGTACCCCGGCAGGTTCACCAACCGCAAGCCCAGCCCAGGCGTCCTGAGGTACTCCCGCATCGCCTCGCCACGATGGGCCGGCGCGTTGTCCCAGATGACCCGCATCGGCCCCGGATGCCTTTCTCTCAGTTGTTCCAGGAAGGCAACCGAGGTCCCACTGTTGCTGTTGCCCTCCAGTTCCATCCATTCCACCTCGCCCGTCTCCAGGCACACCGCCGAATAGTAGCTGGCCTTCTCCCCATACCGCGGGCTGGTCGAGTCCACCAAAGCAGGTTTGCCCTTCAGCACCCACTTGCCCCGCAGTTCCGCATCGGCCCGGAAGTGGGCCTCATCAGCAAAGAATATTCTGGCTTCCTTCCGACCAGCCTCCTCCCTCAGAGCGGCGTACTCCGCCACGAAAGCCTCCCGCTTCGCCTCATCCGCCTTGAGCAGGCGTTTCTTGGGACGCTTGAAGGCAAACCCCAGCCGGTGCAGCCAGTTCACACAACTGCTGCGGCTCAACCCAATGCCGAACCGCTCCAGGGCAAACCGCCGCACCACCTTCCAATACCAGTTGGCCAGATCGATGCCCGAGGCGCCGGGCGGTTCCTGTACCGCTGCCTTCAACTCCTCCTGCTGCGCTTGATCAAGGGCGGGGGGGAACCACCGGCCTGCTCGAATATCAAGGCTGCAGGTCCTCCCTCTCCGAAGGCCGACGCCCATCGTCCTATGGTGTGGGGGTCCCTTCCCAGAGTCTGCGCCGTGGCCGCTGCGGTCCAGCCCTGCGCCAGCAGCAGCAAGGCGTACCACCGCTCCCGCTCCCTGGGTGTGGGCGCCAAAATCATCCGCCGACGCAAGTCCTTGATTTCCATCTGCCACTGTTCCAGACACCGGTCTATCTCCCTCACGCCCATCACCAACCCCTCCCAACTCCCGACACCAGCTAACCGGGTTCCTTCACAAATTTACCCCTTCCCACTGCGCGTTTCACCTTGGCTTTGGTTTAGTATTACAACGACGGATCGCAAGAAAGGGATCTTGAGTACCCTTCACAGCAACCTGCCCGCGCGCTCGATAGCTTTGTGGCCTTGCCTTCCGCGAAGCGATATCCAGTCTAAAACTCACCAAATTGAGGTAGCGTCGTTGTAATACTAGAGCGCCGGTATGGTCCGGGTTTGGGGCGGCGGTCTGCGGGTTCCGGAAGACGTAGGAAACCCACCTGCCCTCGGGCGGAGCGGCCAGCAGATTCGGCCCGAAGTTGTAGCCGTTGGCGTCGGTGCCCAGGCAGCCCTTCAGGTCCAGGCCCCTCAGGTGGGCTTCGTAGTGGCCGATGACCAGGTCGTTCTCATCGACGATGAAGAGGTGCCACTGGCCGTCCACACTCTCCTCCCGGTTGTAGTGGGCCAGGGTGGCGGCGAGCCCGTCGGACTCGTAGCGGCTGATGGCATTTTGGACGAAGAACCTGGTGTAGGCGGCGGGGTCGGACCTGGGAGGAATCCGGGCCACAACGCTTTCCGCAACACCTTCCGAGATCCGCTGGATCTCTTCCTGGCTTGGACCTGCTTCCGGAACGCCGGCGATGTAGTCCAGGACGATCTGCTGGACCTGGGCCCTGGTGAGGCCCGGCTGCGAGTTCTGCAATTCCGGCGGTTCCAGAAGTTCTGACAGCGCTTCCTGGATTATTTCCTGGACCTGGGCGTTGGTCAGACCGGACTCGGTTTCGGAGGTGGAGGCAATGGCCTGCTGGATGGTCTCGCTGATCTCAGTGCGGGACGGCCTGGGTGAGGGCGGAGTCCTCCCCGGTGCAGGCTGCGGTCAGCACCGTGAGCAGGATGATGAGGACGGCGAAAGCTGCCTTCCGCCAGTTGGGATAGATCATGGGCGTTGTCCTTTGGGTTTGTTGTTGCTGAGCTGCGGCTCATGGTTGCCGGCTGTGGAACTGAATGGAACTGACGGGCAGGGATCTGCTACAGACCGCCAGGAGCATTTACCAGGTGGCTTAGATCATCAGCCACTCCGTCGTGGGTCAGGACCGCATCGTGGACGGAGCCGGCAACGATGGCACCGCCGTTCAGGGTCAGTTGGTTGGCATTGATTGCGATGCCGTCCGCATCGTTGTCACCCGCCTGGACGGTGTAACCGAACATTACCGCAGCGCCGCTGGTGCTGCGGTACTCCGCGGTCCGGGCGGTGCCGCCGATGTCCAGTTCCAGTTGCGGGGCGCCGGTGACGCTCACGTCCTCGCTGAAGGTGACGGTCGCCTGGACGGTATCCCCTGCAACGTAGGTGTCATCGTCTCCGGGATTGGAGGTGAGGGCGACGTCGGAGATGGTCGGCGCGGTCACGTCGGGCGGTGCCAGTTGACCGTTCACCTTGTGGTCGGGGTCCTCCCCCATGGTGACGGCTCCATAGTAGGGGTCGGGAACGTAGCTGATGTCGGTCCCGGCGGCCTTGATGTCCTACACCCAGGACATCAAGGCGTCTATGCCGTTTTCGTCCAGGTCATCCTCCACCACCGTGTACTCGAATACCAGGGTGTCGGTGCCGTTGCCCGAGACGAAGGGGATATGTCGCTGGTCGATGGTGGACCCTATGCGGAGGGTCAGGAAAGTGACTGGGCCCGCGGTGACGTCCTGGCCGAAGTTCACGCTGGGCCGGATGACCTCGCCCCGTCCGTAGGTATCCTCCGCCGCCACCGGGGTGGAGAGGATGCGGATTTCCTTCGGGTAGGGCCGTCCGTCCAGCTTGTGGCCCGACTGGTTGAACAGCCCGGTGAACTTTGCCGGTACCAAGATGTCGGTGCCCTTGACCTTGATGGTGCCAGGGCCGCCCCAGCCCTTCCGGACGTCGTCCTCGACGTAGCTTCTCTGGATGGTGATGCCGTCCTGGTCCAGGTCCCTGGACTGGACGGTATATCCGAACATCAGGGTGGTTGGTGCCGGTGCCGGATTGGTACCAGACGCCGCGCCACCAGTCGTCGTCTCCGTCGCCGACCCGTGCGTTCAGGTGCTTGAGGCCGTTAACTTTGACTTCGGCGCTTAGGGTGAGGGCGACCAGAATGGTCTCGCCGTAGCGGTATTTGACGCCGTCCTCTGGCTCGGAGATGATCTCCATGCCGGTGCCGATGGGGGTCAGGCTGCCGTTAACCTTGTGGTCGGGCTGATTGTCGATGCCGTCATAGGCCTGGTAGGCAATGATCGGGGTTCCCGCAGCCGTGACGGCGTCATGGTTCAGGAAGTTGAACCAGTTACTTAATATGCCCTTGTCGACGCCGGGTATTTTGATGCCGTTCCAGTCTCTTTCCCCGGACTGGACGGTGTAGCCGAATACAAGGGTGTCGGAGCCGGAGCCCCGCAGGTAGTAGGCGATCCACCAGTTGCTGCCGATCTGGATTCCCAGGCCGGGGTTGTCTTCCACTTCCACGCTGGTGTTGACGTCCACGCTGGTGCTGAAGGTGGCTTCAATCTCAATGGTTTCCCCAACGCCGTAGGTGTTGTTGTCGCGGGCCGGTTCGGAGATTATCTCGAGGCCGGTGATGTTGGGGTCGTTGTCGAGGATGGTGATCTCGCACCTGTTGTCCCGGGCTGGGTCGTCTTGGTCCACCACGTTGTCGGTGGGGGTGAAGCGGACCGTGAAGGTCTCGTTGCCCTCCAGGAGAGCATCATCCAGGGTGCTGAAGGTGCGCTTGGCCCGGTTGGCCTCGCTCTCGGAGTCGTTGGCCAGATTTGGCCAGAATCCTGGGCGACGTAGTCGTCGGCGCCGGCGGTGCCGGCGTCGGTGTGCCAGTTGGCGGAGAAGGTGTTGTCGTGCTGGTGGTCGCTGACCCGGACCAGGTAGACGTCAAAGTCCTCGCCCTCACGGACCTCAGTGGTCGGGCATTCCAGGTAGAACTCGGCGGTGTCGGCGCTGGCCGGGGCCGGTTGCAGCAGGGCAGTCAGGCCGATTAGCCCCATCAGTC